ACCAAGCTGCTTACCTATTGCAGATTCAGTCTTCCCAGCCTGGTGCAGGTCTACAATTTTGTTTCTGGTGTCCTTTGACAGCTCTTTGGTCTTGGCCATAGTGGAGTTTGGAGTGTGACTGTTTGAGGTTGTGGACAGGTGTCTTTTATACTGATAACAAGTTCAAACAGGTGCCATTAATACAGGTAACGAGTGGAGGACAGAGGAGCCTCTTAAAGAAGTTGTTACAGGTCTGTGAGAGCCAGAAATCTTGCTTGTTTGTAGGTGACCAAATACTTATTTTCCACCATAATTTGCAAATAAATTCATAAAAAATCCTACAATGTGATTTTCTGGATTTTTTTCTCTCATTTTGTCTGTCATAGTTGACGTGTACCTATGATGAAAATTACAGGCCTCTCTCATCTTTTTAAGTGGGAGAACTTGCACAATTGGTGGCTGACTAAATACTTTTTTTCCCCACTGTATATACGTACATATACAGCTCTGGAAAAAATTAAGAGACCACTGCAAAATTATCAGTTTCTCTGGTTTTACTATTTATAGGTATGTGTTTGGGTAAAATTAAAAAAAATTTGTTTTATTCTATAAACTACTGACAATATTTCTCCCAAATTCCAAATAAAAATATTGTCATTTAGAGCATTTATTTGCAGAAAATGACAACTGGTCAAAATAACAAAAAAGATGCAGTGTTATCAGACCTCGAATAATGCAAAGAAAATAAGTTCATTTTTAAACAACACAATACTAATGTTTTAACTTAGGAAGAGTTCAGAAATCAATATTTGGTGGAATAACCCTGATTCTCAATCACAGCTCTCCACCAGTCTTTCACATTGATGTTGGGTGACTTTATGCCACTCCTGGCACAAAAATTCAAGCAGCTCGGCTTTGTTTGATGGCTTGTGACCATCCATCTTCCTCTTGATCACATTCCAGAAGTTTTCAATGGCGTTCAGGTCTGGAGATTGGGCTGGCCATGACAGGGTCTTGATCTGGTGGTCCTCCATCCACACCTTGATTGACCTGGCTGTGTGGCATGGCGCATTGTCCTGCTGGAAAAACCAATCCTCAGAGTTGGGGAACAATGTCAGAGCAAAAGGAAGCAAGTTTTCTTCCAGGACAACCTTGTACATGGCTTGACTCATGCGTCCTTCACAAAGACAAATCTGCCCTATTCCAGTCTTGCAGAAGCACCCCAGATCATCACCGATCCTCCACCAAATTTCACAGTGGGTGCGAGACACTGTGGCTTGTAGACTTCTCCAGGTCTCTGTCTAACCACTAGACGACCAGGTGTTGGGCAAAGCTGAAAATTGGACTCATCAGAGAAGATGACCTTACTCCAGTCCTCTACAGTCCAATCCTTATGGTCTTTTGCAAACATCAGCCTGGCTTTTCTTTGCTTCTCATTGATGAAGGGCTTTTTTCTAGCTTTGCACGACTTCAGCCCTGCCCCTAGGAGCCTATTTCGAACCGTCCTCGCCGTGCACTTCACCCCAGCTGCCATTTGCCATTCATTTTGTAGGTCACTTGATGTCATCCTACGGTTGTTGAGTGACATTCGAATGAGTTGGCGGTCATCCCGGTCAGTAGAGTCGTTTTCGCCCTCTGCCGGTCTGTAGCTTTGTTGTCCCCAATGTCTGCTGCTTGACCTTGTTCTTATGAACTGCCGTCTTTGAAATTTTAAGGATGGAAGCAACCTGACTCTCACTGTATCACTCTGCCAGTAAAGCCAGAATTAAACCCTTCTATTCCTCACTCAAAACATTCATTTTCAACTCTTTTGGCATGGTCAATAGTTATTTTTTTTATTAATATTACATTTACATTTACATTTTAGTCATTTAGCAGACGCTCTTATCCAGAGCGACTTACAGAAGCAATTAGGGTTAAGTGCCTTGCTCAAGGGCACATCGACAGATTTTTCACCTAGTCGGCTCGGGGATTAGAACCAGCGACCTTTCGGTTACTGGCACAACGCTCTTACCCACTAAGCTACCTGCCGCCCCTTTTGAGGTACTATTAGCACTGTTTTTGCCATCCAGCTGGTTCTATTGCAAGAGGATAGTCATGAACACAGCAGTGTTTTTTATATTTTTCCTCGTTAAATAAGATTTTGTTCAGGTGATCACCTAATCAGTACCTAATTCAGTAGAATGAGGTGTGCCTGTGTTGGAATTCAACAGACACTGGAATGGAATGGCTGTCATACATGTAGAGATGCTGATTTAAGAAAAATGTGCAGTGGTCTCTTAATTTTTTCCAGAGCTGTATATATATATATATACAGTACCAGTCAAAAGTTGGGACACAGCTACTCATTCAAATATTTTTCTTTATTTTTACTATTTTCTACATTGTAGAATAATAGTGAAGACATCAAAACTATGAAATAACACATGGAATCATGTAGTAACCAAAAAAGTATTAAACAAATGAAAATACCTTTGCCTTGATGACAGCTTTGCACACTCTTGCATTTCAGCCAATCAGTTGTGTTGTGACAAGGTAGGGGGGTATATAGAAGATAGCCCTATTTGGTAAAAGACCAAGTCCATATTATGGCAAGAACAGCTAAAATAAGCAAAGAGAAACGACAGTCAATCATTACTTTAAGACATGAAGGTCAGTCAATGCGGAAAATGTCAAGAACTTTGAAAGTTTCTTCAAGTGCAGTTGCTAAAACCATCAAGCGCTATGATGAAACTGGCTCTCATGAGGACCACCACAGGAATGGAAGACCCAGAGTTACCTCTGCTGCAGAGGATAAGTTCATTAGAGTTACCAGCCTCAGAAATTGCAGCCCAAATAAATGCTTAACAGAGTTCAAGTAACAGACACATCTCAACATCAACTGTTCAGAGGAGACTGCATGAATCATGCCTTCATGGTCGAATTGCTGCAAAGAAACTACTACTAAAGGACACCAGTAAGAGAAGAGACCTGCTTGGGCCAAGAAACACGAGGAATGGACATTAGACCGGTGGAAATTTGTCTTTTGGTCTGGAGTCCAAATTTGAGTTTTTTGGTTCCAACCGCTGTGTCTTTGTGAGACGCGGTGTGAGTGAACGGATGATCTCCGCATGTGTATTTCCCACCGTAAAGCATGGAGGAGGTGTGATGGTGTGGGGGTGCTTTGCTAGTGACACTCTCTGTGATTTATTTAGAATTCAAGGCACACTTAACCAGCATGGGTACCACAGCATTCTGCAGCGATACGCCATCTCATCTGGTTTGGCCTTAGTGGGACTATCATCCGTTTTTCAACAGGACAATGACCCAACACACCTCCAGGCTGTGTAAGGGCTATTTTACCAAGAAGGAGAGTGATGGAGTGCTGCATCAGATGACCTGGCCTCCACAATCCCCTGACCTCAACCCAATTGAGATGGTTTGGGATGGGTCGGACGGCGGAGTGAAGGAAAAGCAGCCAGCAAGTGCTCAGTATATGTGGGAACTCCTTCAAGACTGTTGGAAAAGCATTCCAGGTGAAGCTGGTTGAGAGAATGCAAAGAGTGTGCAAAGCTGTCAAGGCAAAGGGTGGTGGCTATTTGAAGAATCTCAAATATAAAATCTATTTTGATTTGTTTAACACTGTTTTGGTTACTACATGAATCCATATGTGTTATTTCATAGTTTTGATGTCTTCACTATTATTCTACCATGTAAAAAATTAAGAAAAACCCTTGAATGAGTCGGTTTGTCCAAACTTTTGACTGGTACTGTGTATAGATATATATTTGTTAATGCTTGAATATTTTCTTGTGTAGCTCAGTTGGTAGAGCATAGCGTTTGCAACGCCAGGGTTGTGGGTTCGTTTCCCACGGGTAGCCAGTATGAAGGAGAAAAAAAAAAGTATGCATTCACTAACTGTAAGTCGCGCTGGATAAGAGCGTCCGCTAAATGACTAAAATTTAAATGTAGTGTCACACCTGAACAGTGATTTGAGTGAAGCGGAAGCAGAGGCATCGATAATAAACCCTTATGTTCCATCCAGAAACTGTCCGTTTGATAATATCTCAGGCACTACTTGTGCTCTCGTGGGTGTTCCTGTATTAGTGCTGCCACACCTGACCAGTGAGTGAATAGAGGAAGTGGTATCCATGGTGATGACATACTTACTGGCCCTCTACTGTAGTCCGTAATATCTAGCCTATCTGCCAAAAGTATGGATTAACCTTTTAGGGTTCTGAAATACTATTTGCTGTTTTAAGACACGTCCTGTAATCTGTACCTTACGCAAGCAGTAAATCAACCAAAATATAAATTAGTTACTGATAGGTACAATGTTTTAGATTCCCAGTTCAGTTCTGTTTCTTAAGGTGTGACCCGTCTGTCTGCTCTACTGGGTTCAATACTATTTAAAATATTTAAATGCTTTGTCTGTGCTTGATTGAGCTTGCCTGGCTTAATGGAACACTGGAATAGTCCCAAAACTGTAAGCCCCGCCCATCTGGCACTCCAAGCAGGCTAGAGCAAACGCTCAAAAGTTAAAAAATAATAATATTTGAACCCAGGTTTGACTCCCTCTGTGACTGGTAACCTTTCATCATAGAACAGCAGTTATTTAAACCAGAGTGGGAGACTAGTCTACTGCCCAGCTAGATACTGTTCTGTACTTGTGTTCTGTCTGGCTAAATGTCAGTGGAAAGTCCAGTGTGTCGACTGGCTCAGCATCATGTTAAAGAATGGCCAACGTTTCTATCATTGCTTTTTAAATACAGGTTTTCCAGTGGCTTAACCTTAACCTTTTTGCGGTTGATATTTTTTCCCCATTTCCTCACCTTTTGAGATTCTGTATATAACCCTCTACATAAAGAAGTCTCAGTTGGCTAGGGCTATCTGAATACACCTACAGAATCCCGTAAAGGCAAACAATAAACAGTTTCTTAACCCCAATCCACAAAAACACCTAATTCCTTCCTAGTTGCTCATTCAGCCTTTGGCTGTAGCTACTAGCTCCCTGCTTCTCCCTCTCTGTTTGTCTAAACCAGTTGTATCCCACTACACAGGCTCTGGTGGCCTCTGACCGTTCCAAGAATGGGCTTTTCAACCTCGGACAGGTAATCTTGGGCTGGTCTGGTGTGACTACAGTACCTGTCATTCACCTGACCAGTCAGTCACGCTCACCTTTGACGTCTGACCTTTTCCTCTTGGCATTAATGATGGTGGTGGTTTGAATGCCTTGAGGCTCACTACATCATCTGACTGGCACACCCTTTGGCTACCTCTCCTCTCCTCCTTTCTCTCACTCCCTCGCTCTCATCTGGTGGTGGTTGTTGTTCCTCTCGCTGGGTGATGGGTTCTTCCCCCTCTCTCTCTAAAGTGATAGTACCTCTACCTACCTGACCTACCACCCCAGTGACATCAGCTCTGCTCTGACCTCACCTCTCAGTGCACCTGCTTCTCACCACTGCTGTTATAACCTGTCTAAATAAAGAAACATCCTGACTCTATTGCTGGGCTCACACAGCTGTAGCAGCAACAGTAATATGTAGTTTAATTCCCCTCATTGCTGTGGTTGGTTCTCCCTTGCCTTCAAGCCCTGCTGCTGGAAATTGAGTTATTTGGCAATCTTCAGAGCTGTCAGAGTATTCATCTCCATTTTGACTGACAGTTATTGTACTCTTTCTTCTTCTGCAGACGAGAGATGATTTCCTGGGACAGGTCGATGTGCCTCTCAATCATTTGCCGGTGAGTGTGTTGTCCGTGTACTACGTGTGGGTGGGTGGGGGGTGGGTGTGTGGGTGGGTGGGTGTGTGTGTGTGTGCATATCTGTGCGTCTGTGCACACACATACACACACACATTGTTGTGCCCACACACACACATTGTTTGGTTTTAGAATGCTCTGCTGGTTTTTAGCAGCATGTTTGTTCTGCCTAGTGAACTCTGAAGGTTGAGAGGGGAGGGGGAAGAGTTAGAAAACCCCTCTTGAGCAACCTGTTGTCGTAGGCTTTTTAAGTAGCAACATCACTGGAGAGTGAGCGAGACTAGCCCCCTGTTAGGAGTGGAAATAAACCCGGTAGGAATGTAAACAACAAGGCCAGTACAGGGTCTGAGGAGAAGAGGGCTACCCTGGCCTGGAACTGACGGAAAAAGAAACTGTGCATGCCCAATGGTGGTAAGCCACTGGTCAGAGCAACAATAATAAACAGAGTTGTAGTCCTAAATGAAGGCCAGATTCAAGTAGTTTAATCAAGTTTTAAGTAGGTTCATTGTTTTATGAAAGAAACATGCTCTATCTATCTTCTAAAATAAAAATAATTGTCAACTATGGAAAGTTCTCACTGGCAGTTCACAGAGTGCAGTGCTGCTTATGATTAAATGACCCTTTGTCAAATAATCTTTAGTCCTGCTTATAAATGATTAATTGTCAAAGAATGTTTGGCTCTTGATTGAGTGGCTGGGCAATCAAGCCAGTCAAACAGCTTGACCCTAAAGCAATGCGGTAGTGATTCTAAGAGATAGGCTTTTAGTTTCACCACTTTAAAAATAGCTATCAGCGTAGGCGTTAAGGTTAATTATTAATGATGGCGCACCAGCTACTGTTGTCCCTATGGTGGAGGAATTAACATGAGATAAAGTCTGCTGTAACTCTGTGGCGCTCCTGGATGGACACAGAGACCTGGGTCATGTTAATTAGTTCTAAAACGTTTTGCAACTGAAAAGGTAAATGCCCAACGGGTGTTTCTTATTGGGCAAAGACGATACCAATATTACGATTCAGTATTTGGAAAGAAACAACTTCGGTATAACTTCTTCTAAAAGAAAAATAATTTGTCAAACAGAGAAAGTCTTATGTGCATTCCAGAGTGCCATTTCTTATTTAATGAGACCCATTTGTCAAATAAGCTTTTCCTGCGGATCCAATAGTATTGTCATCAAGTTTTCTTTTTGCCATGGCAAACAAAAGTCAAACATTACTTAAGCAATGCGGTAGTTTTGCAAGAGATAAGCCTCAGTTCCCCACTTTAAATATCTTCTCTTGGTACAACGTAAAAATATAAGGTGCGCACCAGTAGGTGTTTTTGCCCTATGTTTTTTGGGGGCCTTAACATAGATTAAAGCTGGGGTAACTCTGTGGTCTTGACACAGATTTTGGGTCATGTTGAGTATTCAAAAGTTTTCAACCTAAAAAGCCCTTGACAAGTGGGTCTGTCTTGGGGCAAAAACGGGTGCCATTTATTCGATACTCCTAGTATCTGTGCACAGAATGGGGCACACAGGGGATTCACTCGGGTAGTAGCTAAAATCCCATGGTTGACCATCATTAAGTTGGGGCATCCAGGTGTCACAGTTTTTATTTAGCTGGTAGTAACATCTGATATTTAATTTCAGCAGGTGTTCAAGGATCCAATGGGGTTTGTGTCTCATTTTTTGGGGCAGTCCACTTGTTCCATGGCAAAGAGCAAATCTCTCACATTACTGGGTCGTCACAGCCTGGTTATCAGGGACATAGTAGCTAAGCATTTAATCTGAGCTGACATTTACTTCTCACGGTGCCAACACTGAACAAATCCTGATTCACAGAATTTGGGGCAGCCAGCAGCCAGTCCAGGGTGTTATTTGGCAGAAATGTGCTGTTACTGTACTTGGGGCTGTAAGGCTCTTAGTTAGTAGTAGGAGTAATTGCTGTACCTCGTTCTTTGGCGTGGTCTTCCTCAGGTAGTAGGTAGGTATGATCTGCTGTTTACCTCTGAAAGGCTGGCCAGTAGGGCTATGGCTACGTAGGGGCTATCCATGTAACGGGGCTGGCTTTACTGCAGGCTAGTAGCCCGGAGTATCTGCTGTTACCATTTTAAACTTGGGGCAGTCACAGGCTGGCTTCACTCAGGGCTAGTAGCTAGGTAGTAATCTGCTGTACCATGTTAACTTGGGGCAGTCACAGGCTGGCTTCACTCAGGGCTAGTAGTTAGGCAGTAATCTGCTTACCATGTTAACTTGGGGCAGTCACAGGCTGGCTTCACTCAGGGCTAGTAGCTAGGCAGTAATTGCTGTTACCATGTTAATTGGGGCAGTCACAGGCTGGCTTCACTCAGGGCTAGAGCTAGGCAGTAATCTGCTGTTACCATGTTAACTTGTGGCAGTCACAGGCTGGCTTCACTCAGGGCTAGTAGTTAGGTAGTGATCTGCTGTACCATGTTAATTTGGGGCAGTCACAGGCTGGCTTCACTCAGGGCTAGTAGTAGCAGTAATCTGCTGTTACCATGTTAACTTGGGGGCAGTCACAGGCTGGCTTCACTCAGGGCTAGTAGCTAGGCAGTAATCTGGCTGTTACCATGTTAACTTGGGGCAGTCACAGGCTGGCTTCACTCAGGGTAGTAGCTAGGCAGTAATCTGCTGTTACCATGTTAACTTGGGGCAGTCACAGGCTGACTTCACTCAGGGCTAGTAGCTAGGCAGTAATCTGCTTTTACCATGTTAACTTGGGGCAGTCACAGGCTGGCTTCACTCAGGGCTAGTAGTTAGGCAGTAATCTGCTGTTACCATGTTAACTTGGGGCAGTCACAGGCTGGCTTCACTCAGGGCTAGTAGCTAGGCAGTAATCTGCTGTTACCATGTTAACTTGGGCAGTTACAGGCTGGCTTCACTCAGGGGCTAGTAGCTAGGCAGTAAATCTGCTGTACCATGTTAATTGGGGCAGTCACAGGCTGGCTTCACTCAGGGCTAGTAGCTAGGCAGTAATCTGCTGTTTACCATGTAACTTGGGGCAGTCACAGGCGGGACTTCACTCAGGGCTAGTAGCTAGGCAGTAATTGCTGTTACCATGTTAATTGGGGCAGTACAGGCTGGCTTCACTCAGGCTAGTAGCTGGGCCCAGTAATCTGCTGTTACCATTTTAACTTGTGGCAGTCACGGCTGGCTTCATCAGGGCTAGTAGCTAGGCAGTAATCTGCTGTTACCATGTTAACTTGTGGCAGTTACAGGCTGGCTTCACTCAGGGCTAGTAGCTAGGTAGTGATCTGCTGCTACCATGTTAATTTGGGGCAGTCACAGGCTGGCTTCACTCAGGGCTAGTAGCTAGGCAGTAATCTGCTGTTACCATGTTAACTTGGGGCAGTCACAGGCTGGCTTCACTCAGGGCTAGTAGCTAGGCAGTAATCTGCTGTTACCATGTTAACTTGGGGCAGTCACAGGCTGGCTTCACTCAGGGCTAGTAGCTAGGCAGTAATCTGCTGTTACCATGTTAACTTGGGGCAGTCACAGGCTGGCTTCACTCAGGGCTAGTAGCTAGGCAGTAATCTGCTGTTACCATGTTAACTTGGGGCAGTCACAGGCTGGCTTCACTCAGGGCTAGTAGCTAGGCAGTAATCTGCTGTTACCATGTTAACTTGGGGCAGTCACAGGCTGGCTTCACTCAGGGCTAGTAGCTAGGCAGTAATCTGCTGTTACCATGTTAACTTGGGGCAGTCACAGGCTGGCTTCACTCAGGGCTAGTAGCTAGGCAGTAATCTGCTGTTACCATGTTAACTTGGGGCAGTCACAGGCTGGCTTCACTCAGAGCTAGTAGCTAGGCAGTAATCTGCTGTTACCATGTTAACTTGGGGCAGTCACAGGCTGGCTTCACTCAGGGCTAGTAGTTAGGCAGTAATCTGCTGCTACCATGTTAATTTGGGGGCAGTCACAGGCTGGCTTCACTCAGGGCTAGTAGCTATTGGTGATGGGGGGAAAAAATAGATATTTACATATCAGGATATCATTTTTGACAATATATTGTATTGTTTTGACAAGATCGCAATATTATTTTTGCGCTAGTTGGCTGTACCTGGACCGAAATCCCAGTATTTGTCCTTCATAGCTTGTTCTCCATCTTCTTATTAAATAGGGAGTCAATTTGTTTTCAGCACTTTTATTTCCATGACTGATCAGAGCTAGTTTTTCTCATGGCTCTCTCTTGTCCCTCTGCAGCAGACATATGGTGAGCAATGTGTTTGGAACATCGAATCGCAATAAAATCACACCCACTGTTAGAATCAGCAATAGACATATCGCTAATGCGGACACACGGTGCCAATCCGCAGAGGACGGACACCGAGCCAAGCCGCATAGTACGGACCGAGCCAAGCCGCAGAGGACGGACACCGAGCCAAACCGCAGAGGACGGACACCGAGCAAGCCGCAGAGGACCGGCACGAGCCAAGCCGCAGAGGACGGACACCGAGCCAAGCCGCAGAGGACGGACACCGAGCCAAGCCGCAGAGGACCGGCACCGAGCCAAGCCGCAGAGGACGGACACCGAGCCAAGCCGCAGAGGACGGACACCGAGCCAAGCCGCAGGGGACGGACACCGAGCCAAGCCGCAGAGGACCGGCACCGAGCCAAGCCGCAGAGGACGGACACCGAGCCAAGCCGGGAGAGGACGGACACCCAGCCAAGCCGGAGAGGACGGACACCGAGCCAAGCCGCAGAGGACGGACACCGAAAAACCATAGCCGCAGAGGACGGACACCGAGCCAAGCCGCAGAGGACCGGCACCGAGCCAAGCCGCAGAGGACGGACACCGAGCCAAGCCGCAGAGGACGGACACCGAGCCAAGCCGCAAGGACGGACACCGAGCCAAGCCGCAGAGGACGGACACCGAGCCAAGCCGCGAGTAAGGACACCGAGCCAAGCCGCAGAGGACCGGCACCGAGCCAAGCGCAAAGGGCGGACACCGAGCCAAGCCGCAGAGGACCGGCACCGAGCCAAGCCGCAGAGGACCGGCACCGAGCCAAGCCGCAGAGGACGGACACCGAGCCAAGCCGCAGAGGACGGACACCGAGCCAAGCCGCAGAGGACGGACACGAGCCAAGCCGCAAAAGGACGGACACCGAGCCAAGCCGCAGAGGACCGGCACCGAGCCAAGCCGCAGAGGACCGGCACGAGCCAAGCCGCAGAGGACCGCACCGAGCCAAGCCGCAGAGGACGGGACACCGAGCCAAGCCGCAGAGGACGGACACCGAGCCAAGCCGCAGAGGACGGACAACGAGCCAAGCCGCAGAGGACGGACACAGAGCCAAGCCGCAGAGGACCGGCACCGAGCCAAGCCGCAGAGGACGGACACGAGCCAAGCCGCAGAGGACGGACACCGAGCCAAGCTCAGAGACGGACACGAGCCAAGCCGCAGAGGACGGACACCGAGCCAAGCGGAGAGGACGGACACGAGCCAAGCCGCAGAGGACGGCACCGAGCCAAGCCGCAGAGGACGGACACCGAGCCAAGCCGCAGAGGACGAGGACGAAGAGACCGGAGCCAAGCCGCAGACGGGAGCGACACCGAGCCAAGCGCAAGGACGGACACCAGCCAAGCCGCAGAGGACGGACACCGAGCCAAGCCGAGAGGACGGCACCGAGCCAAGCCGCAGAGGACGGACACCGAGCCAAGCGCAGAGGACGGACACCGAGCCAAGCGCAGAGGACGGACACCGAGCCAAGCCGCAGAGGACGGACAACGAGCCAAGCCGCAGAGGACGGACACCGAGCCAAGCCGCAGAGGACGGACACCCAGCCAAGCCGCAGAGGACGACACCGAGCCAAGCCGCAGAGGACGAGACACCGAGACAAGCCGCAAGCGAGGACGGACACCGAGCAAGCCGCAGAGGACGGACACCGAGCCAAGCCGCAGAGGACGGACACCGAGCCAAGCCGCAGAGGACGACACCGAGCCAAGCCGCAAGGGACGGACACCGAGCCAAGCCGCAGAGGACGGACACCGAGCCAAGCCAGAGGACGGACACCGAGCCAAGCGCAGATGACGGCACCGAGCCAAGCCGCAGAGACGACACGAGCAGCCGCAAGACCGGCACAGCCAAGCCGCAGAGGACGGACAACCGAGCCAAGCGCAGATGACGACACCGAGCCAAGCCGCAGAGGACGGACACCGTAGCCAAGCACATAGACGACGGACACGAGCCAAGCCGCAGAGAGTAAACGAGACCAACCGCAGAGGACGAGAACCACAGCCAGAGTACCGCACCGAGCCATCCTCAATACCGCACCTATCCAATCCTCATATTACTTACACCTATCCAATCCTCATATTACTTACACCTATCCAATCCTCATATTACCTTCACCTATCCAATCCTCATATTACTTACACCTATCCAATCCTCATATTACTTACACCTATCCAATCCTCATATTACTTACACCTATTCAATCCTTTCAGATCTACACAAGTATCTTGTCTTAGAGTTTATTTGGGATATTTGGGTCTCTACAAACCCCCATCATCCCAGACTTTTAGTCTGCTGGGTTCTAGTTTCATAGCTGCTTAAACCCCAGCCAGTACTGACCGGTCTGTCAGTCCACTTTACCACTGAGTTTATTACACAAGGCTGTTAACTATGAAACAGCAGAGGGTCTACTCTGCGTTCACTCACACACACACACACTCTCACACACCACACCACACACACACACACACACACACACACACACACACACACCCACACACCCACCCAAGGCTGTTAACTATGAAACGGGAGACACTCGTTAATCACTTCAACAGGACGATTACACTTACATTACATTTTCGTCATTTAGCAGACGCTTTTATCCAGAGCGACTTACAAATTGGTGCATTCACCTTATGATAGCCAGTGGGACAACCACTATACAATATACCCCCCCCCCCCCCCAAAAAAAAAAAAATTTTTTTATTTTTTTTGGGGGGGGTGTGGGGTAGGGGGAGGGTAGAATGATTACTTTTATCCTATCCCAGGTATTCCTTAAAGAGGTGGGGTTTCAAGTGTCTCCGGAAGGTGGTGAGTGACGCTGTCCTGGCGTCGTGAGGGAGTTACCAGAGGTTTAGCTTCCTGTGACGGACTGACAGTGTGGCTTTTTATTTAATATCTACAACATAATGTGTTTTATGTTTTCATGTACTGCATTTAAATCAGACCTGGGAGAAATACTTAACCTGGTAAATACACTCAAATATTTTCAGTGCGCTTGATTCAGGCTAGCTTAACTAGTGGTGCAGGGTGGGCAAACTTTTCCATTGCTTATTGTACCGGTCAAGCTAAGCCAAGCGTATCTCATGTATTTGACATAATGTATTTGACCCTGGTCTGACAATGTGATTATGTGATGGACAGAGTGGTTTTTCTATTTTATAGCTACATGTTTCGATATGTTTTCATGTCTGTAAACTTTGCTAGGCCGGGTTACTGTAAAGCACTTTGACAACCGCTGATATAAAAAGGGCTCCATAAATACATTTAATCGATCGATTGATTGATTGATGTATGTCAAATCAATGTGTTTCTGTGTTGTAGACTGAGGACCCTACGATGGAGCGGCCGTACACGTTTAAAGATTTCCTCCTACGGCCACGAAGGTCAGTTCCAGACTACCGACGAAGGTGACAGGGAACTACACACACACACACAACACACACACACACCACACACACACACGCACACAAACACGCACACACACACACACGCATACACACACGCATTACACACACGCATACACAACACACGCATACACACACCACACGCAGCATACACCACGACACACACCCACACACACACGCATCACCACACACGTCCTACACACACGCACCACACACCTACACACACCATCACACCACCCACCACACACACGCATACACACACGCATACACACAACACGCACACACACACTCACACACACACGCACACCACACGCATACACAACGCATACACACACGCACACAACACGCAACACACACACGCATACACACACCATCACCACACTCATACACACACGCAACACACCGCATACACACACGCATACACACACTCATACACACACGCAATACACACACCATACACACACGCATACACACCATACACACACGCACACACACACGCACCACACACCACGCATACACACACCGCTATACACACGCATACACACACGTCATACCACCACGCACCACACACACGCATACACAACACGCATACACACACGCTACACACACTCATACACACACCATACAACCAACCACACGCACACCACACACGCATACACACACGCATACACACACGCATACACACACGCATACACACACGCACACACACACGCACACACACACGCACACACACACGCATACACACACGCACACACACACGCATACACACACGCACACACACACGCACACACACACACACACACGCATACACACACGCATACACACACGCATACACACACGCATACACACACGCACACACACACGCATACACACACGCATACACACGCATACACACACGCATACACACACGGACACTCAGACACAAACTCAAATTACCCACAAACCCATGTCCACCTGTTGTTGTTAATCCACAATTCATGGTTAGATATCGCTGAAACTACAGGCTTATGTCATTATGGTATTCGGTTCAAAGTAACTGTACTGTTATCATTGTTAGCTAACACTGTTGTCATTCCGAATATTGTTCTAATTCTAGACATTAACTTACATAGCATTGTTAAAATATTCCCCATGTATTGTTAATGGGGCGCTAACAGGGCTTCCATAGAATGTTGTAGTGTCATGTAACTGCATCATGGCCCAACTCTCTGAATTCAAGGCTCTGGCTAAGACCATCTATTCTACCTCTGATTTCTTTTGAATCACTCCCAACTAACTGCCATTTTGGTGTCCTCTTCTGTCTCCAGCCACAAGTCCCGGGTGAAGGGTTATCTGCGGCTGAAGATGGCCTACCTGCCAAAGACTGGAGGTCCGGAGGAGGAGACCACTGAAGGGATTACCAGGGAGGAGGCGGAGGTACGATGACAGGGACACACACGCACACGCACAAGCGCACGTACGCATATATGCATGCTTGCACATACACACAGCTTTTTTTACGTGAAATGTCAGGAGTTTTTGGGGAGTAAAACTGTGTGTTTTCCCTAAGCCTAACCTTGACCCCAAAACCCCTAACCTTAACCCCAAACCCTAAATCTAACCGTTAAGCTTAGAATAGCATTTTAACAAATTCAGGACATGGAAAAAGTCCTGACTTTTACAAAATAAAATAGTTTTCCTACCTTGTCAGGACATTCTGGTGACTTGTGAGGACATTCTGATCCTGATAATGTAGTAAAACATGTACACACACATACATACATACATACACACTCATATATATATATATACAGTGGGGGGAAAAAAGTATTTAGTCAGCCACCAATTGTGCAAGTTCTCCCACTTAAAAAGATGAGAGAGGCCTGTAATTTGCATCATAGGTACACGTCAACTATGACAGACAAAATGAGAAAAAAATATCCAGAAAATCACATTGTAGGATTTGTTATGAATTTATTTGCAAATTATGGTGGAAAATAAGTATTTGGTCAATAACTAAAGTTTCTCAATACTTTGTTATATACCCTTTGTTGGCAATGACACAGGTCAAACGTTTTCTGTAAGTCTTCACAAGGTTTTCACACACTGTTGCTGGTATTTTGGCCCATTCCTCCATGCAGATCTCCTCTAGAGCAGTGACGTTTTGGGGCTGTCGCTGGGCAACACGGACTTTCAACTCCCTCCAAAGATTTTCTATGGGTTTGAGATCTGGAGACTGGCTAGGCCACTCCAGGACCTTGAAATGCTTCTTACGAAGCCACTCCTTCGTTGCCCGGGCGGTGTGTTTGGGATCATTGTCATGCTGAAAGACCCAGCCACGTTTCATCTTCAATGCCCTTGCTGATGGAAGGAGGTTTTCACTCAAAATCTCACGATACATGGCCCCATTCATTCTTTCCTTTACACGGATCAGTCGTCCTGGTCCCTTTGCAGAAAAACAGCCCCAAAGCATGATGTTTTCACCCCCATGCTTCACAGTAGGTATGGTGTTCTTTGGATGCAACTCAGCATTCTTTGTCCTCCAAACACGACGAGTTGAGTTTTTACAAAAAAGTTATATTTTGGTTTCATCTGACCATATGACATTCTCCCAATCCTCTTCTGGATCATCCAAATGCACTCTAGCAAACTTCAGACGGGCCTGGACATGTACTGGCTTAAGCAGGGGGACACGTCTGGCACTGCAGGATTTGAGTCCCTGGCGGCATAGTGTGTTACTGATGGTAGGCTTTGTTACTTTGGTCCCAGCTCTCTGCAGGTCATTCACTAGGTCCCCCCGTGTGGTTCTGGGATTTTTGCTCACCGTTCTTGTGATCATTTTGACCCCACGGGGTGAGATCTTGTGATCGAGGGAGATTATCAGTGGTCTTGTATGTCTTCCATTTCCTAATAATTGCTCCCACAGTTGATTTCTTCAAACCAAGCTGCTTACCTATTGCAGATTCAGTCTTCCCAGCCTGGTGCAGGTCTACAATTTTGTTTCTGGTGTCCTTTGACAGCTCTTTGGTCTTGGCCATAGTGGAGTTTGGAGTGTGACTGTTTGAGGTTGTGTTACAGGTCTGTGAGAGCCAGAAATCTTGCTTGTTTGTAGGTGACCAAATACTTATTTTCCACCATAATTTGCAAATAAATTCATTAAAAATCCTACAATGTGATTTTCTGGATTTTTTTTTCTCAATTTGTCTGTCATAGTTGACGTGTACCTATGATGAAAATTACAGGCCTCTCATCTTTTTAATTGGGAGAACTTTCACAATTGGTGGCTGACTAAATACTTTTTTCTCCCACTGTATATATATATATATATATATATATATATATATATAGACACTACCAGTCAAAAGTCTGGACACACCTACTCATTCAAGTGTTTTTTTTACATTGTAGAATAATAGTGAAATAACACAGATTAAATCATGTAGTAACCAAAAAAGTGTTACACAAATCAAAATATATTTATAATTGAGATTCTTCAAATAGCCACCCTTTGCCTTGATGACAGCTTTGCATACTCTTGGCATTCTCTCAACCAGCTTCGTGAGGTAGTCACCTGGAATGCATTTCAATTAACAGGTGTGCTGCCTTAAAAGTTAATTTGTGGAATTTATGTCCTCCTTAATGCGTTTGAGCCAATCAGTTGTGTTGTGACAAGGTAGGGGTGGTATACAGAAGATAGCCCTATTTGGTAAAAGACCAAGTCCATATTTTGGCAAAAACAGCTCAAATAAGCAAAGAGAAATGACAGTCCATCATTACTTTGAACGTTTCTTCAAGTGCAGTGGCAAAAACCATCAAGCGCTACGGTCCTCTGTAGCTCAGCTGGTAGAGCACGGCGCTTGTAACGCCAAGGTAGTGGGTTCGATCCACGGGACCACCCATACACAAAAAATAAAAGAAAATGTATGCACGCATGACTGTAAGTCGCTTTGGATAAAAGCGTCTGCTAAATGGCATATATTATTATATATTATTATGAAACTGGCTCTCATGAGGACCGCCACAGGATAAGTTCATTAGAGTAACCAGCCTCAGAAATTGCAGCCCAAATAAATGCTTCACAGAGTTCAAGTAACAGACACATCTCAACATCAACTGTTCAGAGGGGACTGTGTGAATCAGGCCTTCATGGTGAAATTGCTGCAAATAAACCACCACTAAAGTACACCAATAAGAAGAAGAGACCTGCTTGGGCCAAGAAACACGAGCAATGGACATTAGACCGGTGGAAATTTGTCCTTGGGTCTGGAGTCCAAATTTGAGATTTTTGGTTCAAACCGTGTGTCTTTGTGAGACGCAGTGTGGATGAACGGATGATCTCCGCATGTGTAGTTCCCACCGTAAAGCATGGAGGAGGAGGTGTGATGGTGTGGGGGTGCTTTGCTGGTGACACTGTCTGTGATTCATTTAGAATTCAAGGGACACTTAACCAGCTTGGCTATCACAGCATTCTGCAGCGATACGCCATCCCATCTGGTTTGGGCTTAGTGGGACTATCATCTGATTTTCAACAGGATAATGACCCAACACACCTCCAGGCTGTGTAAGGGCTATTTTACCAAGAAGGAGAGTGATGGAGTGCTGCATCAGATGACCTGGCCTCCACAATCCCCCGATCTCAACCCAATTGAGATGGTTTGGGATGAGTCAGACGGCAGAGTGAAGGAAAAGCAGCCAACAAGTTCTCAGCATATGTGGGAACTCCTTCAAGACTGTTGGAAAAGCATTCCAGGTTAAGCTGGTTGAGAGAATACCAAGTGTGTGCAAAGCTGTCATCAAGGCAAAGGGTGGTGGCTATTTGAAGAATCTCAAATATAAAAAATATTTTGATTTGTTTAACACTTTTTTTGGTTATTACATGATTCCAAATGTGTTATTTCATAGTTTTGGTGTCTTCACTATTATTCTACAATGTAAAAATTGAGAAATACCCTTGAATGAGTAGGTGTGTCCAAACCTTTGACTGGTACTGTATATATACAGTTGTGGAGGTGGAGTAACAGAAGTCTGTTACTGCCAACAGGGAGTCTGGAGAAAACATCTAGTCTGTTCTGGTCTGGCCTCTCTTTCTGGAAACACCATTCACTCACTCACTCAATTCCCCACATCCTCTCATTTTCAGAAAGCTGATCTATTGGAAAACTAAAGTATGTGTTTGGTGTGTGTATCTGTATGCCTATGTGTGTCAGTGGCTTAATCTGAGTAAGAGAGAGAGAGAGCAAGATGGCTTTTTCACTCACTAAAATAATGCCTAGATAGGGTGACATTTAGCTAGTCTGGGTACCCGGCTGTTTAGCCATCATTCCACTCCTTGGTCTAGTCTGGTACCGTCTGTATAGCCATCATTCCACTCCTTGGTCTAGTCGGTACCTGTTGTTTTAGCTATCATTCCACTCCTTGGTCTAGTCTGGTACGTCTGTTTAGCCATCATTCCACTCCTGGTCTAGTCTGGTACCAGTCTGTTTAGCCATTCCACTCCTTGGTCTAGTCTGGTACCAGTCTGTTTAGCTATCATTCCACTCCTTGGTCTAGTCTGGTACCAGTCTGTTTTAGCCATCATTCCACTCCTTGGTCTAGTCGTGGTTACCCGTCTTTTAGCATCATTCCACTCCTTGGTCTAGTCTGGTACCAGTCTGTTTAGCCATCATTCCACTCCTTGGTCTAGTCTGGTACCGTCTGTTTAGCTCATCATTCCACTCCTTGGTCTAGTCTGGTACCAGTCTGTTTAGCCATCATTCCACTCCTTGGTCTAGTCTGGTACCAGTCTGTTTAGCCTATCATTCCACTCCTTGGTCTAGTCTGGGTACCCGTCTGTTTAGCTATCATTCCCACTCCTTGGTCTAGTCTGGTACCCAGTCTGTTTAGCCATCATTCCACTGCCTTGGTTCTAGTCTGGTACCCGTCTGTTTAGCCATCATTCCACTCCTTGGTCCTAGTCTGGGTACCCGTCTGTTTAGCTATCATTCCACTCCTTGGTCTAGTCTGGTACCAGTCTGTTTAGCCATCATTCCACTCCTTGGTCTAGTCTGGTACCCGTCTGTTTAGCCATCATTCCAACTCCTTGGTCTAGTCTGGTACCCGTCTGTTTAGCCATCATTCCACTCCTTGGTCTAGTCTGGTACCCAGTCCTGTTTAGCCATCATTCCACTCCTTGGTCTAGTCTGGTACCCGTCTGTTTAGCTATCATTCCACTCCTTGGTCTAGTCTGGTACCAGTCTGTTTAGCCATCATTCCACTCCTTGGTCTAGTCTGGTACCCGTCTGTTTAGCCATCATTCCACTCCTTGGTCTAGTCTGGTACCAGTCTGTTTAGCCATCATTCCACTCCTTGGTCTAGTCTGGTACCAGTCTGTTTAGCCATCATTCCACTCCTTGGTCTAGTCTGGTACCGTCTGTTTAGCCATCATTCCCTCCTTGGTCTAGTCTGGTACCGTCTGTTTAGCCATCATTCCACTCCTTGGTCTAGTCTGGTACCAGTCTGTTTAGCATCATTCCACTCCTTGGTCTAGTCTGGTACCAGTCTGTTTAGCTATCATTCCACTCCTTGGTCTAGTCTGGTACCAGTCTGTTTAGCTATCATTCCACTCCTTGGTCTAGTCTGGTACCAGTCTGTTTAGCTATCATTCCACTCCTTGGTCTAGTCTGGTACCAGTCTGTTTAGCTATCATTCCACTCCTTGGTCTAGTCTGGTACCAGTCTGTTTAGCTATCATTCCACTCCTTGGTCTAGTATGGGGTACGTTGTTTAGCATCATTCCACTCTTGTCTAGTATGGTACCAGTCTGTTGAGCCATCATTCCACTCTTGGTCTAGTTGGTACCGTCTGTTTAGATCTTCATTCCACTCCTGAGTCTAGCTGGTACAGTGTTTAGCCATAATTCCACTCCTTTGTATAGTCTGGTAACCCAGTTGTTTAGCCATCATTCCACTCCATGGTCTAGTTGGATACCCGTTGTGTGCTATCGTTCCACTCCTTGGTCTCAGTCTCTGGTACCAGTCTGTTTAGCCATCATTCCACTCCTTGGTGTTGTAGTCTGCTAACCCCAGTCTGTTTAGCATCATTCCACTCCTTGGTCTAGTTGGTACCCGTCTGTTTTAGCATCATTCCACTCCTTGGTCTAGTCTGGGTCTGTTACCACTCTGTTAGTGATTAGCCATCATTCCACTCCTTGTCTAGTCTGGTACCCGTCTGTTTAGCTATCATTCCACTCCTTGGTTGTCTGGGTACCAGTCTGTTTAGCTATCATTCCACTCCTTGGTCTAGTCTGGTACCAGTCTGTTTAGCCATCATTCCACTCCTTGGTCTAGTCTGGTACCCGTCTGTTTAGCCATCATTCCACTCCATGGTCTAGTCTGGCTACCCGTCTGTTTTGCTATCGTTCCACTCCTTGGTCTAGTCTGGTACCAGTCTGTTTAGCCATCATTCCACTCCTTGGTCTAGTCTGGTACCAGTCTGTTTAGCTATCATTCCACTCCTTGGTCTAGTCTGGTACCAGTCTGTTTAGCCATCATTCCACTCCTTGGTCTAGTCTGGTACCAGTCTGTTTAGCCATCATTCCACTCCTTGGTCTAGTCTGGTACCCGTCTGTTTAGCTATCATTCCACTCCTTGGTCTAGTCTGGGTACCAGTCTGTTTAGCCATCATTCCACTCCTTGGTCTAGTCTGTGTACCCGTCTGTTTAGCCATCATTCCACTCCTTGGTCTAGTCTGGTACCAGTCTGTTTAGCCATCATTCCACTCCTTGGTCTAGTCTGGTACCCGTCTGTTTAGCTATCATTCCACTCCTTGGTCTAGTCTGGTACCAGTGTGTTTAGCCATCATTCCACTCCTTGGTCTAGTCTGGTACCAGTCTGTTTAACCATCATTCCACTCCTTGGTCTAGTCTGGTACCAGTCTGTTTAGCCATCATTCCACTCCTTGGTCTAGTCTGGTACCCGTCTGTTTAGCCATCATTCCTCTCCTTGGTCTAGTCTGGTACCAGTCTGTTTAGCCATCATTCCACTCCTTGGTCTAGTCTGGTACCCGTCTGTTTAGCTATCATTCCACTCCTTGGTCTAGTCTGGTACCCGTCTGTTTAGCTATCGTTCCACTCCTTGGTCTAGTCTGGTACCAGTCTGTTTAGCCATCATTCCACTCCTTGGTCTAGTCTGGTACCCGTCTGTTTAGCTATCATTCCACTCCTTGGTCTAGTCTGGGTACCAGTCTGTTTAGCCATCATTCCACTCCTTGGTCTAGTCTGTGTACCCGTCTGTTTAGCCATCATTCCACTCCTTGGTCTAGTCTGGTACCCGTCTGTTTAGCTATCAATCCACTCCTTGGTCTAGTCTGGTACCAGTCTGTTTAGCCATCATTCCACTCCTTGGTCTAGTTTGGTACCAGTCTGTTTAGCCATCATTCCACTCCTTGGTCTAGTCTGGTACCCGTCTGTTTAGCCATCATTCCACTCCTTGGTCTAGTCTGGTACCAGTCTGTTTAGCTATCATTCCACTCCTTGGTCTAGTCTGGTACCCGTCTGTTTAGCTATCATTCCACTCCTTGGTCTAGTCTGGTACCCGTCTGTATAGCCATCATTCCACTCCTTGGTCTAGTCTGGTACCCGTCTGTTTAGCCATCATTCCACTCCTTGGTCTAGTCTGGTACCCGTCTGTTTAGCTATCATTCCACTCCTTGGTCTAGTCTGGTACCCGTCTGTATAGCCATCATTCCACTCCTTGGTCTAGTCTGGTACCAGTCTGTTTAGCCATCATTCCAATCCTTGGTCTAGTCTGTGTACCCGTCTGTTTAGCCATCATTCCACTCCTTGGTTTAGTCTGGGTACCCGTCTGTTTTGCTATCGTTCCACTCCTTTCCACTCCTTGTCATGCTAAACATCTTTGGCATATGACACAGAGTACAAGGAGTGGAATGGTAGCTAAACAGACGGGTACCCAGGCTAACATTTAGCAGAAGAACTGAATTTTTTTTAAAACAGAAAATCTCACATCTCCAACCTTCTCCTTGCGAGATCTCAAACAGACAGACAGACAGTGGAATGTAACATACACCAAAAGGAAAGAGCTGTGTTTTTCTCCTGGCTGTGCAGTGTCTCTCTCGCTCCGTGTCTGTGTCTTTGAGCACTCTCTCCTCCTGTGCCTGTGTGTTTCTCAGGGCTGGGAGGTGAACGACTCCGCCGACCCCAGCGTCCAGAGGCCTCAGGTGGTCCAGCCCCCGCTGCCCCCAGGATGGGAGGAGAAGGTTGATAACCTGGGCAGAACCTACTACGTCAACCACAACAACCGCTATACACAGTGGAAACGACCCAGCAACGTGTATGTACACACAGCTAGGTTCTCTTTACACACAGTTATCAGAGTTGCTCTAGAGTTAAGGTTGTGGTTAGGATGGGATGAGAAGATGGAGAACCTGGATAGAACCTACTATTTCAACCAAAACAACCACTACACAGTGGAAACGACCCAGCAACATGTATGTACATATAGTTGTCAGAGCTGCTCTAGGGTGAGGGTTAACTTTGGGGTTAGTCATCCACAACAACCACTCTACACAGTGGAAACGACCCAGCAACATGTACGTGCTGCTATACTTTCATACATAGTTATCTTCCACGCCGTGAACCACTAGATCCTCCTCTCCATCCTCTCAGGGCTGGGTGTCTCAGGCTTTGCATTCTCTTTGAAGAATCCTACCTGGAAGGGCTCTGTACTAGGTCCTCTGGTGTCCCCCAGGGCTCTGTACTAGGTCCTCTGGTGTCCCCCAGGGCTCTGTACTAGGTCCTCTGGTGTCCCCCAGGGCTCTGTCCTAGGTCCTCTGGTGTCCCCCAGGGCTCTGTCCTAGGTCCTCTGGTGTCCCCAAGGGCTCTGTCCTAGGTCCTCTGGTGTCCCCCAGGGCTCTGTACTAGGTCCTCTGGTGTCCCCCAGGGCTCTGTACTAGGTCCTCTGGTGTCCCCCAGGGCTCTGTCCTAGGTCCTCTGGTGTCCCCCAGGGCTCTGTACTAGGTCCTCTGGTGTTCCCCAGGGCTCGGTACTAGGTCCTCTCTTGTGCTCTCTGTACACCAACATGTAAAATGTTCATTGTCTCTTCTCTACAGGGATGATGTTTCGGAGGTGGAGAATGATAATCAGCAGCGTGCGAACAGCATCCAGGCCCACCGGGTTTTCAGGTCCAGACGACACATTTCTGAAGACCTGGAGAACGAACACATAGAACCCAGAGACATGGAAGATGTGAGTCTCATCCCTGACCTTTGACCCCTCGACTGTACAATATGTTTTAATCAAGATATTCATAAATCCAAGGACATCTATTGCTACATACCAGGACAATATTACGCCTACATTTTTACTTAAAATAGGTTAATGGATCAATGCCTTATCTTTACTGCAGAATACAGAATGACTTTCCAAGCCAGTCAGTGGTACAGTACACTCTCTCTCTCTCTGCACAGTCGTGGGAGCCAATCACTGAAGAGAGTCCAGACGGCCTCCTAACTGGCCCCTCCTCCGCAATGGCGACGCCCATCCCCCAAACGCCGGACCCCCCGGCCCTCCAGGAGTTCTCAGAGGAGATCAACCTGCGCCTGTCTCTCTCTCCAACCCCATCCGGCCCCCCGCCTGACATCAACGGAGAGGTGGCCGCCCCCAGCCAAGCCTCTGCTGTGGTGAGAATCACTGACCTGTTTGAATCTAGTGTTGGAGGCAATTCACCACTTTTTAACCTCATTCATCAGCACCATTCCAGTATGTCTGAAAACACCAATTTGTTCTGATGCCAAAAAGTCATAAGAAAACAATCCCTCTCTGTCTCCCCTCAGCAGAGTCATCGCTCCTCCAGACTGCGTTCCTCCAGTATGACAGATGGGGTCAGTGACCAGGCCCAGCCTCCTCCTCCAGCGGTACGATACGCTCTCTCTCTCTTCCTCTCCTCTGTTCTTCCTCCTCTGCCTTCCTGTTCCTTTACTACACAGGCAGCTCCTCCTGTTCTCCTCTCCTCCTCTCCTCTGTTCTTCCTCCTCTGCCTTCCTGTTCCTTTACTACACAGGCAGCTCCTCCTGTTCTCCTGTCCTCCTCTCCTCTCCCCTCTCCTCCTCCTCATGTCCTCTCCTCCTATCCTCTCCTTCCCTCCTGTCCTGTCCTCTCCTTCCCTCCTGTCCTCTCCCCTCTCTTCCCTATGTCCTCTCCTCCTCTCTGCTCACTGGGATTCCTTAATGCCTGGTGGTGATTCACTCTGCAGTGTCAGGCTCTGTGTTTCTGGTAACAGTAGCAGTAACTCTATCCTTCCCAGACAGAGATCTGAATCACAGTAGCCCAGGGAACCAGGGCTTCTAAAGGGAAAAGCACAGGTGCTGATGTCAGCCTTTTATCTCGCTGACCTGAATGAATGAGTGGGTAGCAGGAGTTTTACAACAACAGGATGTGAATGAGTGGTAAGTGGAATGAGTGGGTAGCTAGGATTTTACAACAGTAGCAGAATAAGGCTTTTACTAGACTGGCAAGATCCAATCACCACATGTTTCTAACTGGTTTGACACACTTTCCCAGGAAGCATGTGTAGGTTGCAGATCTGCGTTCATATAGTATTTGAAATCTTTCAAAGTACTTTGAGTGTTTGCTCTAGCCTACCTGGAGTGCCAGGTGGGTGGTGGTTGCACTTTTGAGACTACTCTATTGGTTCCATTGCACCATGCAAGCTCAATTACGTGCATCTTAAGTATTTGACCCAGGTCTGGTGCAAAGTTAATTTTGCATACTAAAGTCTTGCATAGTTCATTTTGTTTCGGTATGTTGCATTGAAAGTGGCTAATATTGCGTTGATTCAATCACAATTCCCACAGTAAAGGGAAACGTTGATAGTGTTAACTAACGGGGAAAACTCTAGAAAGTTGTGTGAAGTTGAATCTCGTTGGCTGATATTTATTCTGCATGGCAGTCCTGGGGGAGCTGCACGCAGCTTCGAGGGAACATTGATTGTTGGTTCATTATACGGCAGCAAAATGTGTTTTATTTGTACTTTTTGAAATGTAGGCCAATGTCTTAAATGCAGTAAAGAGTGCGATATAGCTCCATGTTGCTCCGTAAGGCTTATCAAAATAGTTATTGTTAGTAATGACAAAGAAAAGGGTTACTGTTGCTAATGACAAAGAAAAGGGTTACTGTTGCTAATGACAAAGAAAAGGGTTACTGTTGCTAATGACAAAGAAAATAGTTACTGTTGCTAATGACAAAGAAAAGGGTTACTGTTGCTAATGACAAAGAAAATAGTTGCTGTTGCTAATGACCAAGAAAAGGGTGACTGTTGCTAATGACAAAGAAAATAGGTACTGTTGCTAATGACCAAGAAAAGGGTTACTGTTGCTAATGACAAAGAAAAGGGTTACTGTTGCTAATGACAAAGAAAATAGTTACTGTTGCTAATGACAAAGAAAACGGTTACTGTTGCTAATGACAAAGAAAATAGTTACTGTTGCTAATGACAAAGAAAAGGGTTAATATAGTGTTGCTAATGACAAATAAAAGGGTTAGTGTTGCTAATGACAAAGAAAAGGGTTACTGTTGATAATGATAAAGAAAATAGTGTTAGTAATAAAGGGTAGTGTTAGTAATAAAGGGTGGTAATAAAGGGTGAGTGTTAGTAATAAAGGGTGGTAATAAAGGGTGAGTGTTGGTGATAAAGGGTGAGTGTTGGTGATAAAGGGTGAGTGTTGGTGGTACAGGGTGAGTGTTGGTGGTACAGGGTGAGTGTTGGTGGTACAGGGTGAGTGTTGGTGAACAGGGTGAGTGTCGGTGGTACAGGGTGAGTATCGGTGGTACAGGGTGAGTGTCGGTGGTGCAGGGTGAGTGTCGGTGGTGCAGGGTGAGTGTCGGTGGTGCAGGGTGAGTGTCGGTGGTGCTGGGTGAGTGTCGGTGGTGCAGGGTGAGTGTCGGTGGTGCAGGGTGAGTGTCGGTGGTGCAGGGTGAGTGTCGGTGGTGCAGGGTGAGTGTCGGTGGTACAGGGTGAGTGTCGGTGGTACAGGGTGAGTGTCGGTGGTACAGGGTGAGTGTCGGTGGTACAGGGTGAGTGTCGGTGGTACAGGGTGAGTGTAGGTGGTACAGGGTGAGTGTCGGTGGTACAGGGTGAGTGTCGGTGATACAGGGTGAGTGTTAGTAATGACAAAGAAAAGCATTGAAGGAATGAAGAAAGATTAAGAAAGAGTTATTTGGCATGACTGTGTCTGTAACCTGCTAGATTAGTCAGTCACACTATTTCTCCTTGACATTGGCTGAGTGGGTGGGTAGTGTTAACTCACTTTGCGTTCCCCTCTCTTTGTGTGAGTTGGTACACGGCCGTCATTAACACCTGTGGTGCTAGTCAGATCTATCTCACATGATATTCAAAGAAAAGAAAGCTTAACAATGTTGATTGTCTTTCTGCAATCATTGATTATGGTTAATCTAAGACTGCTAAAACAATATCAGATCTCTCATTTGAAAGCTTTTTATTCAGCTGTTTATCTACTACTTTCTCTTCTTCTTGACTCGCGTCACTCTCAACCCGTAATCCAATCAAACAATGATCATCCACAACTATAATCCACCCACGGTAATCTGATTCCATGTGCCCGTTACCTCACCTTTCCTCCTGTGTGGTCAGCTGCTTTGGGTATCCTCCACAACTCCTGTCCCTATCATCACAGGAGTCTATCCCCCCTGACCCTCGCTTCACTCCTCACCCCACTGTCCCCCACCTCAACCTCTGGGCAGTCTGACTCTAAAGTAACCTCCTTCCCCGTGTCGGTCTTTCCTGCTCCTCCACACATCACCCACCTGACCCCCTGCCTCACCCTCACTGGTCAAATCTGTCCCTGCCTCAGCCTCACTGGTCATATATGTCCCTGACCCCTGCCTCAGCCTCACTGGTCATATCTATCCCTGACCCCTGCCTCAGCATCACTGGTCATACATGTCCCTGACCCCTGCCTCAGCCCCCCCCCCCCCCCCCCCCCCCACCCCCTAAAGTGTGTGCCTCCCTCTAAAGAAGGCTGTGTTCTACCAGCAGAGCTCCCAGACCAGAAGAACCAGAGCTCAAACAGTCACTGGAGTTGAGGAGCCCATGGTAATGTTGTCCCATTCTACATACTGTACATCTATCTACCTGCTGTGCATCAGTGCACCTCTCTGCCATATGAATACCCTCTCTCTCTCTCTGCACCGTTTTAGTTTTGTCCCCCTCCCTCCCAACAAACGTTATGTATCAAGCCGGTGTTCAGTCCCACACGTGGTTAAGAAGTTAGGACTTGTAGTGACTAGACCACCTGTTTCCCCTCCTGCTTCTGTGTTGTGACCCCTCAATGGGAGAGTTCAACTCACTTACCAAGTCAATAAGTGCACACGTTTCTTCATATGGAGTTCAGTGGCTGTGAATGTGTATTTGTAGTTGTCCATGTATGTGCGTGTGGTTGTGTTTGTGTGTTTGTGCTGCTCCCTCGATATGTCCACACATCATCACCTGCTGGGATTTATTTTCATCTGTAATAAGCAGTTTGAGTGTGTCTATACTATATATGTTAGTTTGTACATGTTTAAGGTTTGAGTGTGTCTATACTATATATGTTAGTTTGTACATGTTTAAGGTTTGAGTGTGTCTATACTATATATGTTAGTTTGTACATGTTTAAGGTTTGAGTGTGTCTATACTATATATGTTAGGTTGTATGTAAGGTTTGAGTGAGTCTTACTATATACAGTGCATTCGGAAAGTATTCAGACCCCTTTTTCCACATTTTGTTACGTTACAGCCTTATTCTAAAATTGATTAAACATTACCTTTTTTTCGCTCATCAATCTACACACAATACCCCTGTATTTGGGGAGTTTCTCCCATTCTTCTCTGCAGATCCTCTTAAGCTCTGTCAGGTTGGATGGGGAGCGTCGCTGCACAGCTATTTTCAGTTCTCTCCAGAGATGTTTGATCGGGTTCAAGTCCGGGCTCTGGCTGGGCCACTCAAGGACATTCTGAAGCCACGCCTGCGTTGTCCTGTTGGAAGGTGAACCTTCGCCCTATTCTAAGGGTCCTGAGCGCTCTGGAGCAGGTTTTCATCAAGGATCTCTCTGTACTTTTGCTCTGTTCATCTTTCCGTCTATCCTGACTAGTCTCTCAGTCCCTGCAGCTGAAAAACATCCCCACAGCATGATGCTGCCACCACCATGCTTCACTGTAGGTTTCCTCCAGATGTGACACTTGGCACTCAGGCCAAAGAGTTCAATCTTGGTTTCATCAGACCAGAGAATCTTGTTTCTCATGGTCTGAGAGTCCTTTAGGTGTCTTTTGGCAAACTCCAAGCGGGCTGTCATGTGCCTTTTACTGAGGAGTGGCTTCCGTCTGGCCACTCTACCATAAAGGCCTGATTGGTGGAGTGTTGCAGAGATGGTTGTCCTTCTGGAAGGTTCTCCCATCTCCACAGAGGAACTCTGGAGCTCTGTCAGAGTGACCATTGGGTTCTTGGTCACCTCCCTGACCAAGGCCCTTCTCCCCAGATTTATCAGTTTGGCCAGGCGGCCAGCTCTAGATAGAGTCTTGGTGGTTCCAAACTTCTTCCATTTAAGAATGATGGAGGCCACTGTGTTCTTGGGGACCTTCAATGCTGCAGACATTTTTGGTACCCTTCCCCAGATCTGCCTCGACACAATCCGGTCTCGGAGCTCTACGGACAATTCCTTCGACCTCATGGCTTGTTTTTTGCTCTGACATGCACTGTCAACTGTGGGATCTTATATATTGAATATACCACAGGTGGACTCCAATCAAGTTGCTGAAACATCTCAAGGATGATCAATGGAAACAGGATGCAGCTGAGCTCAATTTCAAGGCTCATAGCAAAGGGTCTGAAAACTTATGTAAATAAGGTATTTCCGTTTTTTATTTTTAATACATTTGCAAAAAAATCTAAACCTGTTTTCGCTTTGTCGTTATGGGGTATTGTGTGTAGATTGATGAGGGAAAAAATTATTTAATCAATTTTAGAGTAAGGCTGTAACGTAACAAAACTCAAGTGGTCTGAATAATTTCCGAATGCACTGTATGTTAGGTTGTATGTATGTATGTTTGAGTCAGTCAGTCTTACTATAATAATAATAATATGCCATTTAGCAGACGCTTTTATCCAAAGTGACTTACAGTCATGCGTGCATACATTTTTACGTATGGGTGGTCCCGGGGATCGAACCCACTACCCTGGCGTTACAAGCGCCATGCTCTACCAATTGAGCTACAAAGGACCTTTACATGTTAGGTTGTATGTCAGGTTTGAAAGCTGTTCTATGTGGTTTGTTTGTCATTGTGTGTTTTTTTTTTTCTAAAGCTGTCCTGCTTCTGCTGGCCTGCTTCTGTGAGTTTCTGAGGAGCAGCAGTATTGTAGTACAATAGTACTCTGCTACGTGTTGTACTGCAGTACTGTTTTTAGTCAATAAGCCACTCCCACTGTTTCTATATTTCTTATCAATGTGTAAAAAAATGCAGTTTGCACAAACAGTTTCTTCCAGGTGGCCATATTGTCCGGCGTGATTAACTTGCTGTTTTGCTTCTCTTTGCTTGGTTCAATCTCAGTCGGCAGCCTATGCCCTGACCACACCAGGCCTGCCTCCGGGATGGGAGGAGAGGAAGGATGCCAAGGGACGCACGTATTACGTCAACCATAACAACCGCTGCACCACCTGGACCAAGCCTATCCTACAGGTACAGAGAGGCCTCACCTGGGGCACAGAGAGACTGCATGGGCCTGGGCTGACTCCTCCACGTCGCTCTCCTCCTCCTCCCCTCTCCTGCCCTCATTCCGTTAGGGCGTTTCTCTGGGCCTGGGTACAACCTCCACTGTTCTCTTTGTCCCCCCACCTTCCTCTTGTCCTGTCTTAAAGTGTGGGTGCATGTCTTACTCTAGGTCTTACTCTAGGTCTTACTCTAGGTGCGTTCCTTCACTGGTCACCTTGAGTTTGTGTCCCGCTCTTCCTCCTCTCCTCCTCTCTTCTTTGTTCCTCCTCTCTCTCTTCCTCTCCTCCTCTCTCCCTCTCCCCTCCTCTCTCCCTCCTATCTTTCTCCCTCCTCTCTCCCTCCTCTCCTCCTCTCTTCCTCCCTCTATTCCTCCTCTCTCCCTCCTCTCTTTCTCCCTCATCTCTCCCTCCTCTCCTCCTCTCTTCCTCCCTCTATTCCTCCTCTCTCCCTCCTCTCTCCCTCCTCTCCTCCTCTCTTCCTCCCTCTATTCCTCCTCTCTCCCTCCTCTTTCTCCCTCCTCTTTCTCCCTCCTCTCTCCCTCCTCTCCTCCTCTCTTCCTCCCTCTATTCCTCCTCTCTCCCTCCTCTCTTTCTCCCTCCTCTCTCCCTCCTCTCCTCCTCTCTTCCTCCCTCTATTCCTCCTCTCTCCCTCCTCTTTCTCCCTCCTCTCTCCCTCCTCTTTCTCCCTCCTCTCTCCCTCCTCTCCTCCTCTCTTCCTCCCTCTATTCCTCTTCTTTCTCCCTCCTCTTTCTCCTCCTCTCTCCCTCTCCCCTCCTCTCTCCCTTCTCTCTTCCTCCCTCTATTCCTCCTCCTCTCTCTCCCTCCTCTCTTTCTCCCTCCTCTCTCCCTCCTCTCTTCCTCCCTCTATTCCTCCTCTCTCCCTCCTCCTCTCCCTCCTCTCTTTCTCCCTCCTCTCTTCCCATCCCTCTCCTCCTCTCTTCCTCCTCTCCTTCCTCCTCTCGTCCAGCTCCTCATTTCTCTCTCTCCTCCCTCTATTTCCTCTCTCTTTTCTCCCTCCTCTTCTCCTCCTCTCTCCTCTCTCCCTCCTCTCTCACTCCTCTCCCTCCTCTCTTCCTCCCTCATCTCCTCCTCTCTCCCTCCTCTTTCTCCCTCCTCTCTCCTCCTCCCTCTCATTCCTCCTCTTCCTCCCGTCCTTTTCCCTCCTCTCTTCCTCCTCTTTCTCTCTCCTCTTCCTCCTCCTCTTCCCTCTCTTCCTCTCCTCCCTCCTCTTTCTCCTTCCCCTCTCTCCTACTCTCTCCCGCTCGCTCGTTTCCCTCCTCTCTTCCTCCTCTCTATCCTCCTCTCTCGCCTCCTCCGTCTTCCTCCTCTTCTCCCTCCTCTCTCCCCTCTGTCCCTCCTCTCTCCCTCCTCTCTTTCTCCCTCCGTCCTCCGTCTCCCTCCTCTCCTCCCTCCTTCACTCCTCCTCTCTCCCTCCTCTCTCCCTCCTTTCTCTCCCTCCTCTCTCTCATCCCTCCTCTCTCCCTCCTCTTTCCCTCCTCTCGTCCTCTCTCCCTCCTCGTCCTCCCTCTTCTTCCTCCCTCTATTCCTCCTCCTCTCCCCTCGCTGCTCTTTCTTCTCCTTCCTCTCCTCCACTCCCCTCTCTCTTTCCTCCCTCTATTCTGCCTCTCACTCCCTCCTCTTTCTCCCTCCTCGCATCTCGTCATCTCTCCTCATCCCTTCCTCTCTTCCTCCTCCCTCTCTCCCCGTCCTCTGTTCTCCCTCCTCTCTTTCTCCCTCCTCTCTCCCTCCCTCCTCTCTTCCTCCCTCTCCTCCTCCTCTGCCAAATAGTAACTTGAGAAATGTGGATGTATTAAGTATTGATGAATGGGAGATTTGAGTGGATATTGTAGTGGTTTGCACATATCTCAAGTTAGACTCTTATGAATGGTCTTTCCTCTGTCTGATCATCTCTTCCTTACTCTTTAACTTCCCTATAATGTAAACTGTCTATCACACAAAGCCTTGTTCCTCCTTCTACCTGTGTTAACTAAAAAGTATCTCCTTGACAGCACACTGAAGATGAGGCGAGCACCTCTGACTCCGGGGCTGCAGCTGGAGCCGCCTCCACCTCTTCCTCAGCCGCCAACAACAACAGCCACCCGATTGAACCCCAAATACGCCGCCCCCGTAGCCTCAGTTCCCCTACTGTTACCCTGTCCACCCCCTTAGAGGTGAGATTATCCAGCCTGTCCTGTAGGACTTCCTTACTTTCTATCTATCTTCCTTCCTTCCTCTTCTTTGTTGGAGATGAGAGCGCACCACCACCACCCTACCCGCCCTCTAGACAACATCTCCTTTCTTTCCTCCCTTGTTCCGTCATCTCCTTTCCTCCCGTCTATCATTCTCATATCCTTCTACCTCTCCTCTCTCTTTCAGGTTCAGCCCTTCTTCCATCTCCTTTCCTCCCGTCTATCATTCTCATATCCTTCTACCTCTCCTCTCTCTTTCAGGTTCAGCCCTTCTTCCATCTCCCTTCCTTCCTCTAACATTCTCATGTCCTTTCAACTGCCTCTGTCTCTTTCAGGTTCAGCCCTTCTTCCATCTCCCTTCCTTCCTCTAACATTCTCATGTCCTTTCAACTGCCTCTGTCTCTTTCAGGTTCAGCCCTTCTTCCATCTCCCTTCCTTCCTCTAACATTCTCATGTCCTTTCAACTGCCTCTGTCTCTTTCAGGTTCAGCCCCTTCTTCCATCTCCCTTCCTTCCTCTAACATTCTCATGTCCTTTCAAACTGCCTCTGTCTCTTTCAGGTTCAGCCCTTCTTCCATCTCCCTTCCTTCCTCTAACATTCTCATGTCCTTTCAACTGCCTCTGTCTCTTTCAGGTTCAGCCCTTCTTCCATCTCCCTTCCTTCCTCTAACATTCTCATGTCCTTTCAACTGCCTCTGTCTCTTTCAGGTTCAGCCCTTCTTCCATCTCCCTTCCTTCCTCTAACATTCTCATGTCCTTTCAACTGCCTGTCTCTTTCAGGTTCAGTAACACTCTGCTGCCTTGCTGCCTGCCACTGTTCTCTGCTCCTCTCTTCCCTTGACCATTGTAATGCTATTTACCTCATTTACTCCTCATCTGCCAGTACTTTCACCACCTTCAGTTTAATCTTATGTTACGGTGTGAGAGCGTCTTTCATCTGAAGATCATTTTGAAGCGTACATTTAGTTTACAAACACCGCTACCTTCAGGCAATGTCATTCAATTCAGTAATCTGAATTTCATAATGGATTTCAATGGCTGAAATCTGACTCTGTTGAACCATGTGAGGCATGGCTTGGTTTAGCTGTGATCAGGGAAACATGTTTTCCCTTTTCTAATCCCCTCAACATATGATCTCTCCACCCAGAGTGAACTAAGGCTACATCCCAAATGGCAACCTATTCCCTACATAGTCCGTATTGGGTTCTGGTCCAAAAGTTGGGCACTACATAGAGAACAGGGGGACATTTGGGACGTAGCTTATGCAATGAAAGCTTTTGTTTTTGTTCTCCATGTGACACGTTTACCTGTGATTGGTCTAGGCTTTGTGACAGTAGGGCACAGCCCAACTTTATTGGTTACATGATGCAATAAGCCAAAGTGCACTAGATGTAAGAAGAGGGACATATTATGTGGTGGACCTGACGGCTCTGATGTGTGATTTGATAAACCACACAACAGGGTTCTGTTACATCCCCTGTGTGTTAACCTCGCCCCCAGGCTATGGGTGGAAGGAAGTGTCTTAATTGAGCTTCCGGAAAATATAATCTGGTTCCCAGAGTCCACAACCACAGACGTGACAGTCTACACAGCCCATTGTTACATGTATCAACCTCATCTAAAAGTCGCGGACGTATGTCACAATAGATTGAGTGGCTCTGCTGCGTCACTGCTTTAATATCTGAAGCAAGCTTTAGGCTGGAAGGGAATGGGATGTGTGGGACAAAGCTCACCCTGTTATCTCTGTCTGTCATACCCTTTGTTAAGCCTTATTGTGGCATTGAATCATTTGTATACACTTTCTGAAAAGGGAAAGCAATATAGAATGGCTGAGAATAACATTTTATGATGCTTCTTAAGAGATGACAAATGGTGTCATATATTCCCAGTTCAATGTGTTGATAATACGCTTTCTGAGAACTCCGTGGCAGTGGAATGTGTTTTTCTAAGATTGTCTTTTTAACGATGTCTTTTGATTTCTGCCACCACTTGATTGAGAATGTTTTATTACCCATATACAGTTGAAGTCGGAAGTTTACATACACCTTAGCCAAATACATTTAAACTCAGTTTTTCACAATTCCTGACATTTAATCCTAGTAAAAATTCCCTGTCTTAGGTCAGTTAGGATCACCACTTTATTTTAAGAATGTGAAATGTCAGAATAATAGTAGAGAGAATGATTTATTTCAGCTTTTATTTATTTCATCACATTCCCAGTGGGTCAGAAGTTTACATACACTCAATTAGTATTTGGTAGCATTGCCTTTAAATTGTTTAACTTGGGTCAAATGTTTCGGGTAGCCTTCCACAAGCTTCCCACAATAAGTTGGGTGAATTTTGGCCCATTCCTCCTGACAGAGCTGGTGTAACTGAGTCAGGTTTGTAGGCCTCCTTGTTCACACACGCTTTTTCAGTTCTGCCCACAAATTTTCTATAGGATTGAGGTCAGGGCTTTGTGATGGCCACTCCAATATCTTGACGTTGTTGTCCTTAAGCCATTTTGCCACAACTTTGGAAGTATGCTTGGGGTCATTGTCCATTTGGAAGACCCATTTGCGACCAAGCTTGAACTTCCTGACTGATGTCTTGAGATGTTGCTTCAATATATCCACATAATTTTCCTTCCTCATGATGCCATCTATTTTGTGAAGTGCACCTGTCCCTCCTGCAGCAAAGCACCCCCACAGCATGATGCTGCCACCCCAGTGCTTCACGGTTGGGATGGTGTTCTTCGGCTTGCAAGCATACCCCTTTTTCCTCCAAACATAACGATGGTCATTATGGCCAAACAGTTGTATTTTTGTTTCATCAGACCAGAGGACATTTCTCCAAAAAGTATGATCTTTGTCCCCATGTGCAGTTGCAAACCGTAGTCTGGCTTTTTTTATGGAGGTTTTGGAGCAGTGGCTTCTTGCTTGTTGAGCGACCTTTCAGGTTATGTCGATATAGGACTCGTTTTACTGTGGATATAGATACTTTTGTACCTGTTTCCTCCAGCATCTTCACAAGGTCCTTTGCTGTTGTTGTGGAATTTATTTGCACTTTTCGCACCAAAGTACGTTAATCTCTAGGAAACAGAACGCGTCTCCTTCCTGAGCGGTATGATGGCTGCGTGGTCCCATGGTGTTTATACTTGCGTACTATTGTTTGTACAGATGAACGTGGTTTGAAGTTTGAAGGTAGGCCTTGAAATACATCCACAGGTACACCTCCAATTGACTCAAATTATGTCAATTAGCCTATCAGAAGCTTCTAAAGCCATGACATCATTTTCTGGATTTTTCCAAGCTGTTTAAAGGCACAGTCAATTTAGTGTATGTAAATGTCTGACCCACTGGAATTGTGATACAATGAATTATAAGTTAAATAATCTGTCTGTAAACAATTGTTGGAAAAATTACTTGTGTCATGCACAAAGTAGATGCCAAAACTATAGTTTGTTACCAAGACATTTGTGGAGTGGTTGAAAAACGAGTTTTAATGACTCCAACCTAAGTGTATGTAAACTTCCGACTTCAACTGTAGGTTATAGAGGGTGCTGTATTAGATATCCAGGCGGAAGGAGAGCACCAGAGCAATGTTTCTTTGGGTCATCTAGAAGGTGTGTCAGTGACCTGTGTTCGGGTGATGTTGAAATGTTACATAATCGTGATTAAGTGAGGTTCGCAGCTGTTGGCCCTATCAGGTTAACCTCTGTCATCACTGTGTGTGTGTCGGGTTGTCTGTGCGTGTGAGCTTAGCCTTATATTCAGGGGAACGTTGTTGTGTTCTGAAAGATTATGGGCCTTTTTTTTTTTTGTGTGGTATAAAAACCTCAGTCTAAGCTGTCTACTTGTGGAAAAATCACCCTGATTAACTCTTTAGTCATATCCCAGTTTACCTATTTGCTTATGGTCTTGCCTCTGTGGAGATGGGAGAACCTTCCAGAAGGACAACCATCTTTGCAGCACTCCACCAATCAAGCCTTTATGGTAGAGTGGTTAGACGGAAGCCACTCCTCAGTAAAAGGCATGACAGCCCGCTTGGAGTTTTTTAAAAGGCACCTGAAGGACTCTCAGACCATGAGAAACAAGATTATCTGGTCTGATGAAACCAAGATTGAACTCTTTGGCATGAATACCAAGCGTCACGTCTGGAGGAAACCTGGCACCATCTCTACGGTGAAGCATGGTGGTGGCAGCATCATGCTGTGGGAATGTTTTTCAGCGGCAGGGACTGGGAGACTAGTCAGGATAAAGGGAAAGATGAACGGAGCAAAGTACAGAGATCCTTGATGAAAACCTGCTCCAGAGTGCTCAGGACCTCAGACTAGGGTGAAGGTTCACCTTCCAACAGGACAACGACCCTAAGCACACATCCAAGACAACGCAGGAGTGGCTTCGGGACAAGTCTCTGAATGTCCTTGAGTGGCCCAGCCAGAGCCCGGACTTGAACCCGATCAAACATCTCTGGAGAGACCTGAAAATAGCTGTGCAGCGACGCTCCAAATCCAACCTGACAGAGCTTGAGAGGATCTGCAGAGAAGAATGGGACAAACTCCCCAAATACAGGTGTGCCAAGCTTGCAGGGTCAAACCCAAGAAGACTCGAGGTTGTAATTGCTGCCAAAGATGCTTCAACAAAGTACTGAGTAAAGGGTCTGAATACTTATGTAAATGTGATATTTCCATTTTAGATTTTTTATAAATTTGCAAAAATGTCTAAAAACATGATTTTGATTTGTCATTATGGGTGTATTGATGAGAAAAAACTAAACAATTTAATCAATTTTAGAATAAGGCTTTAACCTAACAAAATGAGGAAAAAGTCAAGGGGTCTGAATACTTTCCGAATGCACTGTACTTCCATTCATTTTTTCAACTGGTACCGGGGACCTTAAGATGAGTCTTGTGAGGCTTTTGGGCGTTCTAGCAAAACAACCGACATGTACGTGTTCGTGAGAGTCTCACCTTTCCACAGAAGGGTCATATTAGTGTGTAGTCCAAACTGTTCGGACGCTACAGAGAGAAGGTGGCAGAAGAGGCTGGTAAGCCCACAGTTAATTACACTAACGGGCCTCACGTCACATGTATTATGCTGCATTACCTTAGAAACCAGGTGATCAAGGTTGTTGGCTCAATTAGCAGTTGGCACGGTAATACAATGCAAATACAAAATGAAAAAAGTTGTTTTAATGGCAGCCTCCGCTCAGAGTGGGGCGGAACTGTGTCTAGAGAGGTAAACTGGTAGGAGAGTTAATTAAAGATTGGAAGGAAGAGGAGGGACTGGGGAGGTGTTTTTCTTAGACTGACAGAGAGAGTAGATTGAGGTGAAGTCCTCAACTTGTCAAAGTGGTAATTAACATTTTTCATAGGAGATAACAGAATAATTAAGACAATCTTTTCTCTCGTATTAAAAGTCAGATATCATCAAGGAACAGAAAGAGAATGTGTTTTTAAGGGGAATTTAGGTACTTGCCTAATTAAGTTGAACATGTTTGCTTTAAAAGTGATTAGGAAGTTAGGAAGACTGTAGATATCAGAACACTATTGTTGCTACTTGCTAGGAATGTCCTTGGTGTGCGCACACAGGAGGTAAAGACATCAATATGAGTCCTTAATTCACATTATAATCTGTCCAATTGGGTTCTGTCCTACTCTAGGGGGCGGCCAACAACATAGCGGTGCGTCGGGCGGTGAAGGACACCCTCTCCAACCCCCAGTCTCCCCAACCCTCCCCCTACAGCTCCCCCAAGTCAGGACACCAGTCCCAGCAGAGCTTCCTGCCCCCGGGGTGGGAGATGAGGATAGCACCCAACGGAAGACCCTTCTTCATAGACCACAACAGCAGGCTCACCACATGGGTGAGATGATACTGATACTTCTAGTTCTTCTTCTCCTCCCCTTCCCCTTGGCCCTACCCCTACCCCTTCCCCTTTGCCCTACCCCTTCCCCTTGGCCCTACCCCTTCCCCTTGGCCCTACCCCTTCCCCTTCCCCTTGGCCCTACCCCTTCCCCTTGGCCCTACCCCTACCCCTTGGCCCTACCCCTACCCCTTGGACCTTCCCCTTGGCCCTACCCCTACCCCTTGGCCCTACCCCTACCCCTTGGCCCTACCCCTACCCCTTCCCCTTGGCCCTTGGCCCTACCCCTTCCCCTTGGCCCTGTTAACTGCTGCTGTCTGATAATAATGCTAACCATTTGTTTTATGTTCTTATGACTGTTAGTACTTTAAATGTTTTTATTGACCTGCCCAGGGACTATAGATGAACATTAGCTGGTTGGCTAAATCTGGCTTTTATACAGATTGTTGATCAATGCAAATTGGCGATGGTGATGTTCTGCCAAGTTGGCGAACAGCCTAAAAAATGCTTTCTGTGCAGACCCATTTGTCTTAATGCAATTATCATCAATTAGTCTAGTGGAGCTGCTCTGACTGTGGCGTTTTTAAAACCAAAGTGTCAGAGCCAACAGCTCTAGTCTACAGTGTACTGAAAAGCCAGGGGATAGTCTTCTAAGGGGGCGATGCCGACCTCTGGTGTCCAAAAGTAGTATCAAAACAATTCTCAATCTCATTTCGTCAACCCCACTCAGCATATGCAGTAGTTGGACCTCTTGAGAAAAATGAATCAATTCGAGTGTAATAGGAGAGATGGTATTGAATGGGGTTTCTTCCAGACGAAGTGGGGAAATTAATTTTTGTGTGGTTAAGGAAGATTGTGTGGATAGTTATCTCTCTGAAATTAAATGATTGCCCCCTCCTGTGTCAAATTGACAGCACATTGGATTATTTAGATTTTAACATTCTGATGGTTCTCCCTCTGTCTCTCTCTCCATTCTCACTCACTCCTTTCTCTCTCGTTCTCTCCTTTCTCTCTCTCTCTCCGTCTCCTCTTTTCTCCTCTTTCCCCATCAGGAGGACCCGAGGTTGAAGTATCCAGTCCACATGAGAACAAAGGCCTCTCTGGAACCTGGTGACCTGGGGCCTCTTCCTGTAAGTACAGTTCATAACCTCTTATGAACCCTTTATAAGCCCTTCATAATCTTTATATATCCTGAAGGACCAAGCACTCTCCAGCTCACCTTTCCTCTGCAATATCTTAATGTAAAAAAAAATGTAAACATGAAACAATCACATATCACCTTTACAGAATGGTGTGAAATCATCAATGTACAAAATGTGCAGCATTAATTGTTGTTGCTTTGAATAATTTTCTGTTCTAAGATTATAACTAGGGCAGGGACGATACCAGTATCACCATACTCGTTAGTATTGGGACAAGGAAACAAAACACGAAGTGGATATAACTTCTTCAGATAAACAGAGTCCCATTACTTTATTTTCCAAGCTGTAGCACACAATATTTTACATGCAGCAGGTTTTTAAAGGACCAAAGAGTGCGATCTGCTTCTTGTTTTCATTTTTGCCATGGAAAAAATATTGCGACACTGGTATCGTCAGAGCCCTAATTAATACCTGCTGACATATTGCCTGGTCCTCCTTTTTGAGGTTGCTATTGTAGAACTGCTTAAGTCATGGCCTGGCCTGGCAAAGCTTTGGAGTGAAAGCACACTTTACCTTTTGATTTTGAGTGTAGGAATGAAGCAAGCCGGGCGGGCACAGTGTGAAATGAGAGTATTGCTGAATTCCAAATGTGAATCGATCTCTAGCATCTACCACCGAGGAACTCTGTAGATCTAAAGAGACTGGCTAGGTATAACTAGGGATGTGCATCTTTCCCTTTCAAGATGATTCGATACGTATCTAGATAAATGGGCTTCGATACGATACAGGGAACGATACGTTTTAGTTTGAAACAATTCGGTTTGATTAGAGGAACGAGTCGATGCGATTCGGTTCGATGCAATAGGAACATTTGTTGCATAATCACATTCATTTTCCGTTCTAAATTAAAGTCTAGTGCTTATGGAGCTCATGAGCTGGGCCTCTCTGAACTGGATCTGTGTATGTGTAAATTATGTACAGTTGAAGTCGGAAGTTTACATACACTTAGGTTGGAGTCAATAAAACTCGTTTTTTCAACCACTCCACAAATTTCTTGTTAACAAACTATAGTTTTGGCAAGTCAGTTAGGACATCTACTTTGTGCATGACACAAGTAATTTTTCCAACAATTGTTTACAGACAGATTATTTCACTTATAATTCACTGTATCACAATTCCAGTGGGTCAGAAGTTTACATACACTAAGTTGACTGTGCCTTTAAACAGCTTGGGAAATACCAGAAAGTGATGTCATGGCTTTAGAAGCTTCTGATAAGCTAATTGACATCAATTGAGTCAATTGGATGTGTACCTGTGAATGTATTTCAAGGCCTACCTTCAAACTCAGTGCCTCTTTGCTTGACACCATGGGAAAATCAAAAGAAATCAGCCAAGACCTCAGAAAAAAAATAGTAGACCTCCACAAGTCTGGTTCATCCTTGGGAGCAATTTCCAAACGCCTGAAGGTACCACGTTCATCTGTACAAACAATCGTACGCAAGTATAAACACCATGAGACCACGCAGCCGTCATACCGCTCAGGAAGGAGACACATTCTGTCTCCTAGAGATTAACGTACTTTGGTGCAAATCAATCCCAGAACAACAGCAAAGGACCTTGTGAAGATGCTGGAGGAAACAGGTACAAAAGTATCTATATCCACAGTAAAATGAGTCCTATATCGACATAACCTGAAAGGCCACTCAGCAAGGAAGAAGCCACTGCTCCAAAACCGCCATAAAAAAACCAGACTACGGTTTGCAACTGCACATGGGGACAAAGATCGTACATTTGGAGAAATGTCCTCTGGTCTGATGAAACAAAAATAGAACTGTTTGGCCATAATGACCATTGTTATGTTTGGAGGAAAAAGGGGGGGCTTGCAAGCCGAAGAACACCATCCCAACCGTGAAGCACGGGGGAGGCAGCATCATGCTGTGGGGGTGCTTTTCTACAGGAGGCATCATGAGGAAGGAAAATAATGTGGATATATATATATTGAAGCAACATCTCAAGACATCAGTCAGGAAGTTAAAGCTTGGTCGCAAATGGGTATTCCAAATGGACAATGACCCCAAGCATACTTCCTAAGTTGTGGCAAAATGGCTTAAGGACAACAAAGTCAAGGTATTGGAGTGGCCATCACAAAGCCCTGACCTCAATCCTATAGAAAATGTGTGGGCAGAACTGAAAAAGCATGTGCGAGCAAGGAGGCCTACAAACCTGACTCAGTTACACCAGCTCTGTCAGGAGGAATGGGCCAAAATTCACCCAACTTATTGTGGGAAGCATGTGGAATGCTACCCGACACGTTTGACCCAAGTTAAACAATTTAAAGGCAATGCTACCAAATACTGATTTGAGTGTATGTAAACTTCTGACCCACTGGGAATGTGATGAAATAAATAAAAGCTGAAATAAATCATTCTCTCTACTATTATTCTGACATTTCACATCCTAACTGACCTAAGACAGGGAATCTTTACTAGGATTAAATGTCAGGAATTGTGAAAAACTGAGTTTAAATGTATTTGGCTAAAGTGTATGTAAACATCCGACTTCAACTCTATATGTCTATGGTGTATGTAGACCATAAGAGAAACTGGGAATCTACCACCCCACTATCAGTTAGGGGGGGAAACTCGGCATCTACCACCCCACTATCAGTTAGGGGGGGAAACTGGGAATCTACCACCCCACTATCAGTTAGGGGGGGAAACTGGCATCTACCACCCCCCATTAGGGGGAAACTGGGAATCTACCACCCCACTATCAGTTAGGGGGGGAAACTGGGCATCTACCACCCCCACTATCAGTTAGGGGGGGAAACTGGGAATCTACCACCCCACTATCAGTTAGGGGGGGAAACTGGGCATCTACCACCCCACTATCAGTTAGGGGGGGGAAACTGGGCATCTACCACCCCACTATCAGTTAGGGGGGGAAACTGGGAATCTACCACCCCACTATCAGTTAGGGGGGGAAACTGGGCATCTACCACCCCACTATCAGTTAGGGGGGGAAACTGGGCATCTACCACCCCACTATCAGTTAGGGGGGGAAACTGGGCATCTACCACCCCACTATCAGTTAGGGGGGGGAAACTGGGGCATCTACCACCCCACTATCAGTTAGGGGGGGAAACTGGGCATCTACCACCCCACTATCAGTTAGGGGGGAAACTGGGCATCTACCACCCCACTATCAGTTAGGGGGGAAACTGGGAATCTACCACCCCACTATCAGTTAGGGGGGGAAACTGGGAATCTACCACCCCACTATCAGTTAGGGGGGGGAAACTGGGAATCTACCACCCCACTATCAGTTAGGGGGGGAAACTGGACATCTACCACCCCACTATCAGTTAGGGGGATGTTAGGGGGGGAAACTGGTCATCTACTATAACTTTATATACCCTGTATATCTAAAAATGACCATATATACTGATTGTTTCAAGCAAAACTACCAAAACTATTGCTGATGGTGAACCTGAACAATCCAAATATAATCTAATGTAAGCCCAGATCAGCATGTATAGGCAGATGACTGTAGTCTCTTTAGCTTTCATTTTTAAGGCTACTTTTATTCCGGTAAAACAATATTTTCAGCCATGCATTTGATAAAAAATAACCTAGCAAATTACATTGGTTGTCACTCAACTAATGAAGCCTAATTCCGCGCAGATCATTATACAAACATTTGAATGCTGAAGGTGACGAGCAGATGTGCCAGATCAGGAATAGGCCTACCTCTCGTTGGTCAGCGTGCAGTTTGACAAGGCTACTGATACTGCCTGGGGTTGTTCTGCAAAATGGCTTGTAGATCAATGACTGTCAACATGCTTAGTTTGACACTGAAGGAGAGGACGCAGTTGTCACAAAATATAAGGTATTTTCTGAAGGTTGAAAGAAAGTAATACTTTTTTTTAAACTAAAAAGTGAACCGGCAATTCGTAACGTTTGAGTCTATTTCCTGACCGATGCATGCTACATTTGGATCGGTTTGGGGTACCGCAGAACGATGCGCTCATATCTTGAACATTTGAACCTGGGACCGATGCTTATCAGTGAATCGTTACATCCATACGTATAAGCAGGAAGGGTGTGTTCATTAGGGCGATATGGGCGACGCACTGCCAAACGGGAAAAGGAAGGGATTTTTTTTCTAATCAATTATATCACGGCAACAGTAGTTATCAGTGTTCTAATCTAGACGTCTGATCTGCCACTAAATGTCCAATCAGGCTAAAGTCGTGCTTCAAATGGCCCCTCCCCTTTTGGGGCGATTTCAGTCAGGTTGAAAATCGCCCCAGAAGTCTCTCATAGACTCTCATGTAAAATCTTTTTTTTTCAAATATCAGAGCTTTCAATACAATCTCTATGGGTTCCGGGAGGGCTTGCACTTACGCGCTTTCGTCATACGTAACATAACCATGAACGTAACTAAGAAAAGAGCGGGTAGCAGCGTCAATCAATTCACGTACTACTGTCAAGATGGCTAGCGTTCAGTGCAACTCGATTGTCTCTTTGAAAGAAGTTCCTTTTTGTCGGCGAACAAATCAAGATAAATTGGCAACGAAACAATTAGGACCTCCCAGACCAAATTTAATAATTCAACAGGTTTCTACTAAAGGGGGAAAGTCCTACACCCGAGGATTTTCCAAAAATTGGTACGAACGAAAAACCTGGCTAGCAGGCTGCGATGTAGCTAATGCAGTCTTCTGCTACCCCTGCTTACTCTTTCACCCTGAAGGCGGCACGGCAGACAGCACCGCTTGGACAGCGACTGGTGTAACGGACATGCACCATCTTTCAGAAAAGATTAAGAAACATGAGCTGTCAAAGACCCACATGGATAGCTGTTTGAGATTGTCTGCTTTGGGGAGAGTGAACATTGCCACTCAACTGGATGAGGGATACAGGCTAGCTGTCCGCCGCCACAACGATGAGGTTAGCAAGAACCGCCACATCCTCAGCCGGCTAATCCAGTGTGTGAAGTTTTATTAAGTAGCACTTTGGTCATATCCTACATTCCACAAAATGTAGTTCTAAAGATCCACTTCAGTGTTGCCAGATCTCGCGAGACAAATAAGCAACCAGGCCTGTGAAAAAAAAGCCCAAAACAAGCAACTTTTTCTACGGAGCCCCCCTAGGTTCTGGGTGTAGGTCACCTAAATCATCAGAAAAATTGCCCCCCCTGAGAATTTTTTCAGGAGCCGCCACTGCGTATAAGTAATAGGTATAAGCAATTCTCACAATTTTTGAAAACCACTTCGAGGAGGATGCACACACTTGACATGTAGCTACACCCCTTATTCTTCTAAATGAAATGAGGCTTCCTGGCAGTAGTGGTGTTTTTGTTTTCTCTCTGTTCTCTCCATGGCGTGGGGGGGGGACGTCTACGTCTTATGTGCCACGCCCGTCTTACTGGCAGACCCTACCAAACCTACCAGAGGAGGTTGGTGCTGAATGCAACCGTACAGCGCAGCCTCCCTCTGCCTGCCTTGTCTTACTGTGACTGCCTGCCCTGTGCCCCGTGCTGCAGACTCTCTCATAACTGGCATGATGGTTGGATGACTGTGTTGTCTCACCCACACCCCATCGCTCCCCCCCTCCTCTCTCTATGCTCGTCCCCCCATCACCCCCTTCTCATTCTCCATCAGAGTCCCCAAGCCCCCACTCAGGCCCCCCAGACTGCACAATGTTCAGTGTCTGGGAGGATAGTGGAGGGGGTAGTGGTCCGCAGGGAGGGTAGTGGTCCCCAGGGATGGTAGTGAAGAGGGTAGTGTTCTCCAGGGAGGGTCGTGAAGAGGGTAGTGCTCTCCAGGGAGGGTCGTGAAGAGGGTAGTGCTCCCCAGGGAGGGTCGTGAAGAAGGTAGTGCTCCCCAGGGAGGGTCGTGAAGAAGGTAGTGCTCCCCAGGGAGGTTCGTGAAGAGGGTAGTGCTCCCCAGGGAGGGTCGTGAAGAGGGTTGTGGTCCCCAGGGAGGGTCGTGGTCCCTAGGGAGGGTCGTGAAGAGGGTAGTGGTCTCCAGGGAGGGTCGTGAAGAGGGTAGTGATCCCCAGGGAGGGTTGTGAAGAGGGTAGTGCTCTCCAGGGAGGGTGTGAAGAGGGTAATGCTCCCCAGGGAGGGTCGTGCTCCCCAGGGAGGGTCGTGAAGAGGGTAGTGGTCCCCAGGGAGGGTAGTGGTCCCCAGGGAGGGTAGTGAAGAGGGTAGCGGTCCCCAGGGAGGGTAGTGAAGAGGGTAGCGGTCCCCAGGGAGGGTAGTGGTCCCCAGGGAGGGTAGTGAAGGGGTAGTGGTCCTCAGGGAGGGTAGTGAAGAGGGTAGCGGTCCCCAGGGAGGGTAGTGAAGAGGGTAGTGGTCCCAGGAGGAGTGTCCAGGAGGTAGTGAAGGGGTAGCGGTCCCCAGGGAGGGTAGTGAAGAGGGTAGCGGTCCCCAGGGAGGGTAGTGAAGAGGGTAGCGGTCCCCAGGGAGGGTGAATAGGGTGCGGTCCCCAGGGAGGGTAGTGAAGGGTAGGGTCCCCTGGGGTAGCGTCCCCAGGGTAGGGTAGTTAACGAGGGTAAGCGGTCCCCAGGGAGGGTTAGTGGTCCCCAGGGAGAGTAGTGAAGAGGGTAGCGGTCCCAGGGAGGCGTAAGGTGGTCCCCAGGGAGGGTAGTGGTCCCCAGGGAGGGTAGTGAAGAGGGTAGTGGGGTCCCCCAGGGGTGGTAAGTGGAAGAGGGTAGTGGTCCCCAGGAAGAGTAGTGAAGAGGGTAGTGGTCCCCAGGGAGATTAGTGAAGAGGGTAGTGGTCCCCAGGGAGATTAGTGAAGGGGGTAGCGGTCCTCAAGGAGGGTAGTGAAGAGGGTAGTTGTCCACTCTATTCTGGTGTGCTGCATGATGTGAGTGACCTCCCCTTTATTTTCCCAGTCTCCACCATATGAAGCGAAGGTAATGGTATGGTGGTCTTCCTCCTGATACACCGCCGTCTCTCTACCCGACTGAGACTGGGACAGGGTCAGACTGAAGCTAGTGGACTAATCTAATCTCACCCCTGGCCCGCTCTGTCCCACAGTCCCACTGACAGTCAGTGTGTTTGTGGCTCGCTGTGTCACTGTGGTCACTGTGTCGATGGTGGTGTACTGTACTGGTCTGGATTGTCACTGTATCGATGGTGTACTGGTCTGGATGGATGTGCTGGTATTACCAGGTGTCACTCCTTCCCTGCTGTCTGTCATCCCCCGTCTGTCTGAGTCAGTTACTCACTGTGCTCTCTCCTCTCTAGCCTGGCTGGGAGGAACGGGTGCATGCAGACGGCAGGACCTTCTACATCGACCACAGTAAGTTCTAGTGCTCTCCCTTTCTTCTGTGTTAACGTATTGATTGTTTTCTATCTCTTTCTCTTGGATACTTGAAGAATTTCTCTCTCCCCCTCTCAAACAGTCAGACAGTGTCTCTCTCTCTCTTTTTCCGCCATTGAAGTCCCCGGGATCACTACCATCCCTGTGGACCACTATCCTCTTCACTAACCTCCCTAAGCGTTTTTTCGGGTCGCCTAAGTCCAAAAAGTGTAAAAATTAATAAGAATACACTCATCAGCCAGTTTATTACGTACACCACCCCGTTCACGAAAATGTATCGCTCCTACAGACATTTAGTCACGTGGCCGGCAGACAGGCATCGAGGCTTTCAGTTACTGTTTGATTTAACGTTAGAATGGGTAAAACGAGTGACCTGAGCAACTTTGAGCATGGTATGATCGTCGGTGCCAGGCGTGCCACATCCAGGATCACAGAAACGGACGTTAGTGTTTAGGGTTTACTGAGAATAATGCGACAATCAAAATGCATCCAGTCAGCGGCAGTCCTGTGGGCAAAACGTTTCCGACACCTTTTAGAATGCCCCAAAGAATTCAGGCTGTTCTGGAAGCAAAGGGGGGTCCAACCCGGTGCTAGATGGGTGTACCTAATAATAAACTGGGTGGTGAGTATATACAGTGCATTCGGAAAGTATTCAGACCCCTTGACTTTTTCCACATTTTGTTACGTTGCAGCCTTACTCTAAAATGGATTAAATAAATGTTTGTCCTCATCAATCTGCACACAATACCCCATAATGACAAAGTCAAAACAGGTTTGTAGAAATGTCTGCACACTTATTAAAGACCCTTTGCTATGAGACTCGAAATTGAGCTCAGGTGCTTCCTGTTTCAGTTGATCATCCTTGGATGTTTCTACAACTTCATTGGAGTCCACCTTTGGTAAATGCAATTGATTGGACATGAGAAACAAGATTCTCTGGTCTGATGAAACCGAGATTGAGCTCTTTGGCCTGAATGCCAGGCGTCACGTCAGGAGGAAACCTGGCACCATCCCTACGGTGAAGCATGGTGGTGGCAGCATCATGCTGTGGGGATGTTTTTCAGCGGCAGGGACGGAGCAAAGTGCAGAGAGATCCTTGATAAAAACCTGCTCCAGAGCGCTCAGGACCTCAGACTGGGGCGAAGGTTCACCTTCCAACAGGACAACGACCCTAATCACTCAGCCAAGACAATGCAGGTGTGGCTTCGGGACAGGTCTCTGAGTGGCGCACTCATGGGCGGCGCACAATTGGCCCAGCGTCGTCCAGGGTAGGGGAGGGAATGGCCGGCAGGGATGTAGCTCAGTTGATAGAGCATGGCGTTTGCAACGCCAGGGTTGTGGGTTCGATTCCCACGGGGGGCCAGTATAAAAAAATAAAATAAAATAAATGTATTCACTAACTGTAAGTCGCTCTGGATAAGAGCGTCTGCTAAATGACTAAAATGTAAAATGTAAATGTATATTTCAGGTTTTAATTTTTAATACATTTGCAAAAATGTCAAAAAAACTGGTTTTTGCTTTGTCATTCTGGGGTATTGTGTGTAGATTGATGAGGGGAAAAAAGCAATTTAATCAATTTTAGAAAAGGCGTTTCACCGGGATGCTGGCCCATGTTGACTCCAATGCTTCCCACAGTTGTGTCAAGTTGGCTGGATGTCCTTTGGGTGGTGGACCATTCTTGATACACAATGTATGTGGTCCTCTGTAGCTCAATTGGTAGAGCATGGCGCTTGTAACGCCAGGGTAGTGGGTTCGATCCCCGGGACCACCCATACGTAAATATTTATGCACACATGACTGTAAGTCGCGTTGGATAAAAGCGTCTGCTAAATGGCATGTTATTATTATTATTATTACAAGGGAAACTGTTAAGCGTGAAAAACCCAGCAGCGCTGCAGTTCTTGACACACTCAAACCGGTGCACCTGGCACCTACTACCATACCCTGTTCAAAGGCACTTAAATCTTTTGTCTTGCCCATTCACCCTCTGAATGGCACACATACACAATCCATGTCTCAATTGTTTCAAGGCTTAGAAATCCTTATTTAACCTGTCTCCTCCCCCTTCATCTACACTGATTGAAGTGGATTTAACAAGTTACATCAATAAGGGATCATAGCTTTCACCTGGATTCACCTGGTCAGTCTGTCATGGAAAGAGCAGGTTCTTAATGTTTTGTATACTATATATATATATATATATATACACACACAAATGTATTAGTTTTCAGGATGGAAAAACGTTTTCAGTGTAATCTTAAACTGCTAAAACCAGATAAAAATGTTCTATAAAAGATAATGGACCTTTTTATATTTTTTAATAATCTAATCTTTGAGAACTAACAATGACCAAAATAAAAGTGAGGGAGAATCGAAAATTCCCAAAACAATTAATTTAGCTGTATTGATTTTGTTATGTTTGAGAAAAAGAACACAGCATTCGCCATGGCAAAATGCATAGAATTGCAGGAAATTTGCTTTAAAACTGCTAAATGTTCTCTCAGCTCCATGGCAAGATGTGTAGAATTGCAGGAAATTGGCTTAAAAAATGTCTCTACACCACCAACATGGGGGCCTCTACAATCTTCCCATTGCCACACCCCGCCACGCCCCCTGCCACGCCCACCACCTAAACCCCTTCCTCATCCAGAAAGAACCTGGAGAGCTAGTCTCTCTCTCTCTCCGTCTGTCCTGGGTATCACTGTAGAGCTAGTCTCTCTCTCTCTCTCTCTCCGTCTGTCCTGGGTATCACTGTAGAGCTAGTCTGTCTGTCTGTCTCTCTCCATCTGTCTGAATGTTGTCCTCATAGATCAGTACCTCTGAATCTTTACGTATCAGGTTACCTGCATTCATTATTCAATGCTTCACAGTGTGCTCAATTTAACAAGCAGGATGTCTGCAATCAGCGTTCAGTGTTGTGGCTGACTGACTCATTGAGTGAGTGATGGAATGGATTTCACTGACTCACAAATGACACTAAATAATTTGAAGATTTTGTTTCTGCTACTGCTTTGTCATGGTATATTACAGTATACATATAACCATATTCCTGACTGTTATTTTGTCACCTTCAGACACCAAAGCCACTCAATGGGAGGATCCTCGTCTACAGAGCCCCGCTATCACAGGGCCTGTGAGTATCTCTGGTTTACTACGAAGCAAAGATATTGTCACCCATAGAGGTCCTATTAAATTACTAGAGGGGCTATGTCCATTGTCTCACGTCAGATAGTGTGACGCCGTCTGCACTGATCTGTCTAACTCGCAAACACTCATGGCATAGCTAAAAAGACTACAATATGCTGGCCTAACATTAGAAAATGTTACCAAGGTGACATCGTCCACTGAACCCCCTGTCATCGTCAAAGAGTCAGGTTAACTACCAAAAAAAAAGATAAACCTGTAGCTACATTGACAGGGGTTTTCATGAGCCCTACCTTATTCTACGTCTAGCTTAGGCGTTTTGTGGTGGTAGAATCAGTAGTTATGAAATCAAAGTCACAAATTGCTAGCTGTTATGCTTGTTGAACCAGTCTCAAATCTATCCAAATTAAACAAAAGGCAGGGATGCTACCATCGCCAGTTCATTCAAGCTTCTTGAATATACGCCTAATCAAATCCAATCAAATTAATTTGCCACATGCGCCGAATACACAGGTGTTGACATTACCGTGAAATGCTATTACAGCCCGTTAACCAACAACCATTTTTTTTATAAAAAAGTAAATAAAACCAACAACAAAAGTGTTGAGAAAAAAAGCAGAAGTAAAATAAAATAACAGTAGGGAGGCTATATATACAGGGGGGTACCGGTGCAGAGTCAATGTGCGGGGGCACCGGCTAGTTGAGGTAATATGTACATGTGGGTAGAGTTAAAGTGACTATGCATAAATAATTAACAGAGTAGCAGCAGCGTAAAAAGATGGGGTGGGGGGGGCAGAGCAAATAGTCCGGGTAGCCATGATTAGCTGTTAAGGAGTCTTATGGCTTGGGGGTAGAAGCTGTTGAGAAGCCTTTTGGACCTAGACTTGGCACTCTGGTACCGCCTATGACTAGGGTTGTCTTTGACAATTTTGAGGGCCTTCCTCTGACAACGCCTGGTATAGTGGTCCTTGATGGCAGGGAGCTTGGCCCCAGGGTTGTACTGGGCCGTACGCACTACCCTCTGTAGTGCTTTGCGGTCGGAGGCCGAGCAGTTGCCATACCAGGCGGTGATGCAACCAGTCAGGATGCTCTCAGGTGGTGCAGCTGTAGAACCTTTTGAGGATCTGAGGACCCATGCAAAATCTTTTCAGTCTCCTGAGGGGGAATAGGCTTTGTCGTGACCTCTTCACGACTGTCTTGGTGTGTTTGGACCATGATAGTTCGTTGGTGATGTGGACACCAAGGAACTTGAAGCTCTTAACCTGTTCCACTACAGCCCCGTCGATGAGAATGGGGGCGTGCTCAGTCCTCTTTTTTTTCCCTGTAGTCCACAATCATCTCCTTTGTCTTGGTCACGTTGAGGGAGAGGTTGTTGTCCTGGCACCACACGGCTAGGCCTCTGACCTCCTCCCTATAGGCTGTCTCATCGTTGTCGGTGATCAGGCCTACCACTGTTGGAGTCGTGCCTGGCCATGCAGTCATGGGTGAACAGGGAGTACAGGAGGGGACTGAGCACGCACCCCTGAGGGCCCCCCGTGTTGAGGATCAGCGTGACAGATGTGTTGTTACATTTACATTTTACATTTTAGTCATTTAGCAGACGCTCTTATCCAGAGCGACTTACAGTTAGTGAGTGCATACATTTTCATACTGGCCCCCCGTGGGAAGCTGTACCTACCCTTTCCACCTGGGGGCGGCCCGTCAGGAAGTCCAGGATCCTTAGCTTAGTGATGAGCTTTGAGGGCACTATGATGTTGAACGCTGAGCTGTAGTCAATGAATAGCATTCTCACGTAGGTGTTCCTCTTGTCCAGGTGGGAAAGGGCAGTGTGGAGTGCAATAGAGATTGCATCATCTGTGGATCTGTTGGGGCGGTATGCAAATTGGAGTGGGTCTAGGGTTTCTGGGATAATGGTGTTGATGTGAGCCATGACCAGCCTTTCAAAGCACTTCATGGCTACAGACGTCAGTGCTACGGATCGGTAGTCATTTAGGCAGGTTATCTTAGTGTCCTTGGGCACGGGGACTATGGTGGTCTGCTTGAAACATGTTGGTATTACAGACTCATTCAGGGACATGTTGAAAATGTCGGTGAAGACACTTGCCAGTTGGTCAGCACATGCTCAGAGTACACGTCCTGGTAATCCGTCTGGCCCTGCGGCCTTGTGAATGTTGACCTGCTTAAAAGTCTTACTCACATCGGCGACGGAGAGCGTGATCACATAGTCATCCGGAACAGCTGGTGCTCTCATGCATGCTTCAGTGTTGCTTGCCTCGAAGCGAGCATAGAAGTGGTTTTGCTCGTCTGGTAGGCTTGTGTCACTGGGCAGCTCGCGGCTGTGCTTCCCTTTGTAGTCTGTAATAGTTTTCAAGCCCTGCCACATCCGACGAGCATCAGAGCCGGTGTAGTACGATTCAATCTTAGTCCTGTATTGACTCTTTGCCTGTTTGATGGTTCGTCGGAGGGCATAGCGGGATTTCTTATAAGCGTCCGGGTTAGAGTCCCGCTCCTTGAAAGCGGCAGCTCTACCCTTTAGCTCAGTGTGGATGTTGCCTGTAATCCATGGCTTCTGGTTGGGGTATGTACGTACGGTCACTGTGGGGACGACGTCATCGATGCACTTATTGATGAAGCCAGTGACTGATGTGGTGTACTCCTCAATGCTATCTGAAGAATCCCGGAACATGTTCCAGTCTGTGCTAGCAAAACAGTCCTGTTGCTTAGCATCTGCGTCACCTGACCACTTTTTTATTAACCGAGTCACTGGTGCTTCCTGCTTTAGTTTTTGCTTATAAGCAGGAATCAGGATGATAGAGTTATGGTCAGATTTGCCAAATGGAGGACGAGGGAGAGCTTTGTATGCGTCTCTGTGTGTGGAGTAAAGGTGGTCTAGAGTGTTTTTTCCTCTTGTTGCACATTTAACATGCTGGTAGAAATTAGGTAGAACGGATTTAAGTCCCCCTGCATTAAAGTCCCCGGCCACTAGGAGCGCTGCCTCTGGGTGAGCGTTTTCCTGTTTAGTTATGGCCTTATACAGCTCATTGAGTGCAATCTTAATGCCAGCATTGGTTTGTGGTGGTAAATAGACAGCTATGAAAAATATAGATGAAAACTCTCTTGGTAAATAGTGTGGTCTACAGCTTATCATAAGATACTCTACCTCAGGCGAGCAAAACCTCAAGACTTCCTTAGTATTTGATTTTGTGCACCAGCTGTTGTTTACAAATGTACACAGACCGCCACCCCTTGTCTTACCGGAGTCAGCCGTTCTATCCTGCCGATGTAGCGTATAGCCCGCTAGCTGTATGTTGTCCATGTTGTCGTTCAGTCACAACTCAGTGAAACTTAAGATATTACAGTTTTTAATGTCCCGTTGGTAGGATAACCGTACTCTTAGGTCATCTAATTTATTTTCCAGTGATTGAAGATTGGCTAATAGCTAGCTAGCTAGTGTTGTGAATTTCTAGCTAATGCACAAATGGGTTTTCATGATATCTGTTCTGCTGTGATTAGTGCGCCGAGTTCTACAGCTCAACTGACTGCTCTCTGTGACGTCATCACGTTGGCCAAATGTTGCAAAGCAGCGAGGCTGATTTCTGAGAACAGTCCCATAACTTTGGTGCCGTACAACTTCATCAACAAGCTGGCAAACTAGCTACCGTATGGCCATTCAAACAAGCTTGCATTAGGCTGCTAGCTGGAGCAAGTTTGCTCAGCTGATCGAGCATGGTTTGCCATAGTAGCCAGTGCGTCAAAACTACCGTGAGCGGAATGATTTTCAGAATTAGGAACTAGTGTTAGGCGGATAAGCAAAATCTAGCTTTTTTTGATTCCATGTCCTACAAGACCGATCGGTTGAGTAACGAGCATCGTGTAGGAGTGATGCCCTCTGACGTAAGACAATGGGGCTATGTCATAAACCCTCAAAATTCCAGAATGGAGTGAAAATGGCAGCCATATTGGTCAGGTAGAAATCCAAACCAGTCTAATTGGAATGAATGGCAGTAGAGGCTTAATCCTGTAAAAGGAAGACGTGTGATATCAGAAATGGTGTAATATAATTATTGTCAACCTAAAATATTGTCATATAATTATAAATACAGTTTATACAGGTTTAAACCAATTTTCTGAATAAATAGCCTCTAAAATATATGTAAACGTTTACAACTTGTCTAAGTCCTATCATCAACTCATTTCAGACAGTGTATGGCAGTGGATTGACTGCGTTGTTTATATGGAATGTTAGCATATTAGCTAACAAACTAATAGTGCAGATAAATTCATTTTATAATATCTCATCAAAGCACTGGCAAACCGTGTTTGTCCAACTCCCTGACCAAAATGGCTGAACTTTATTCCATCATAAGAAGGTTAATGTCCATTCTAATATTCTAATTCCTAATTTTATGCTGTCACCATCATATACAGTATTGTACATGGCAAAGGTTTTTACAACCAAGATAAGCCACTCTTTCTCTCTATAGCATAGACGGGGCCTGTGAGTATGGGTGGTTTTCTATGAGCCAAATATACTGTTACCGTCATATACAGTATTGTGGTTTAACAGAAGGCAAAGATACTGTTACCATCATGATGCTGTATGGGGTATTGCACATTACAAAGATACTCTCTTTCATGACCAAGATAAGCCACTCTCTCTCTATAGAATAGACCGTTATATTGACTGACTGCCACTTGTTTGTTCCATTGCAGGCTGTGCCATACTCCAGAGAATTCAAACAGAAATATGATTACTTCAGAAAGAAGTTGAAGAAACCGGTAAGAAATGTTACGTTGCTGCTCAACATCTTAGTGCTTTGCAAAAGTATTCCGGCCCCTTGGATTGTTAAAAATGTATTGTTTTACAAAGTGGGATTAAATTTGATTTAATTGTAATTTTTTTTGTCATCAATCTACAAAAAATACTCTAACGTCAAAGTGGAAGAAAAAGTATATATAGATAAAGATAAATTAAAAATGTATAACTAAAATGTAGTTGTTGCATAAGTATTCAGCTCCTTTGTTTAGGCAATCCTAAATTAGTTCAGGAGTAAAATGTGGCTTAACAAATCCCATAAATTACGTGATCTCAGTCTGTGTGAAATAATAGGGGTTAACATGACGTTTGAATGACTAATCCTTCCTCTGTCCTCCATACATACAACATCTGTAAGGTCAATCAGTCAAGTATTGAATTTCAAGCACCGATTGAACTACAAAGACCAGGGAGCTTTTCAAAAGCCTCATAAAGAAGGGCAGTGATTGGTAGATGGGTAACAATAACAAATCAGACATTGAATATCTCTTTAAGCATGGTCAAGTTAAAAATTATGCTGTGGATTATATATTAAACCACCCAGACACATCAAAGATACAGTCGTCCTTCTGAACTGAGCTGCAGGACAGGAATGAAACTGCTCAGGGATGTTACCATGAGGGCATTGTTTATTTTAGAACAGCTACATAGTTCAATGTCTGTGACGGTAGAAAACTGAGGATGGATCAACAACATTTGTAGTGACTCCACAATAATGATCTAAATGAAAAGAAGAATATAAATATACACAATACTTGCATCTTGTATGCAACAAGGCAAAAAAACACGAAGGAATACACTTTTTGGCCTAAATGCAAAGCCTAATGTTTGAGCCAAATCCAACATAAGACATCACTGAGTGACTGCCTCCTTATTTTCAAGCATGGTGGTGGTGGCTGCATCATGGTATGGGTATGTTTAACATCGGCAAAGACTTGTTCAGGGTAAAAATAAATTGGATAGAGCTAAGCACAGGCAAAATCCTAGAGGAAAACCTGCTTCAGTCTGCATTACACCAGAGACTGGAGAGGAATTCACCTTTCAGCAGGACAATAACCTACAGCACAAGGCCAAACCTACACTGGAGTTGCTTACCAAGAAGACAGTGAATGTTCCTGAGTGGCCAAATTACAGTTTTGACTTAAATCTGCTTGAAAATCTATGACAAGACTTACTATCTAGCCGTGATCCCCACCATCTTGACAGAGCTTGAAGATTAAAAAATAAAATAATAGGCAAATATTGGACAATCCAGGTGTACACAGCTCTTATTGACTTACCCAGAAAGACTCTCCGCTGTAATTGCTGCCAAAGGTGATTATAACGTGTATTGACTCAAGGAGCTGAATACTTATGCAACGACTATGTTTTGGTTATTTAATTTCTATTAATCAATTTTTTTAAATGTTAGAATCTTTCTTCCACTTAGACATTACAGAATATTTTGTGTAGATTGTTGACAAAAAAATGACAATTAAATCAATTTTAATCCCACTTTGTAACGCAATAAAATGTGAAGAAATCCAAGAGGTCTGAATACTTTTGCAATGCTCTGTATATGAAATATCCTTCAACACCCTTCATTTTGAGCAACGCTGTGAATTAATTCTTAATTAATTCACTGTAAATAAAGTGTCAAATGGGGCACGTTGTTTTATATTCAGTGCAAAACCACTTTATCATACCTCACCCATCCTAATTAGCATTGATCTAAAGATACATCTGTCTTCTTGTTTCTCTCTGTGTGTTCCCTGGTTAGAACCACTGTTTGTGTATGAACAACCATCCATCCCCTGTACATATAAATAATACTTAAGTGAAGTCAATTTAAATAAACTGTCTAACTCCTTTTTAGAGTAGACCTGTATTTTTGTGTGTATTCCCTTTAGGAACACTGGATGAGCGGATGATATATTTGATTCTATTGTATCCCCAGGCGGACATCCCTAACAGGTTTGAGATGAAGCTGCACAGGACCAACATCTTTGAGGAGTCGTACCGCCGCATCATGTCTCTGAAGAGACCAGACATCCTGAAGGCCCGCCTCTGGATCGAGTTTGAGTCAGAGAAGGGGCTGGACTACGGAGGTGTGGCCAGGGAGTGGTTCTTCCTGTTGTCTAAAGAGATGTTCAACCCATACTATGGACTCTTCGAATATTCAGCCACGTATGTACTGTCTCTATCATTGACCACCAGTTATAGAAACCTACAGAAGTACAAATGAAAATGTGCACATTTCTTGTTTGTCGGTGCAGTTTGGTAATGGCAGCTGAGGAAGATACAAATTCTGTGGTGTGCAGAGCACTTTGCTGCTGTGCTTCTCAACCTTTTCCATTCCATGGACCACAAAATCATAATGAAAAGCTCTTGAGGACCACCATTTTGCGGAGTCACAGATTATTATTTTTTATACGTAAAATATCTTGGCAGTCAAATTTTGTCCATTTTAGCAGTGAATGTAACAAATGAAAGGCCTATTATTATTTACAGTTAGCATTGTGAAAAATAATGTACAATTGCTTATAATACCATTAATACTCCCAACTGTTATTAATTTTGGAAGAAAAATAAGAAATCAATTAAATAAATACGTGCTGTACCCTCGCGGACAACAGGTCTATTTTCTAAAAACGCAGCGAGAAATTCTAGAGATTGTCATGAAAAGACACACAGACAATTTCCTCTAGGTTTTATGGTCTGCCTTTTCCTCTCATTCACTCTGGCTTCCTGAAAACCAATGCTTTCCACACAATAACAGAACATAGACTATTTCCAGCCTTACAGTCAGGGACATTTGACCCAAAAGGGAAGTTTGCACATTCCTGTTTCTTTCTCCATTGACTTTTCTGACCATCTCCCAAACAACTCTTAATCCTGGCCTTAGGAAGTGACTTCTGTCCTAGCATGTAAGCATTGATTTGATTGGTTAGATTAGATACCAGGGCCTAAAATTAACACCCTCCACCTGTCAAATGCGGGTAGATTTTGCCATTGGCGGGTAAGATGTCTATTTCACCAGCCACGTGGCGGGTGGTCAGGGCTCCACAGTGCAAGCATTTCACTTGCGTCAGCGAATAAAAATGTAGTTAGAAGTATGAGCTGATTTATAGCAAAATAAATGCTGCAGTAGCTGTTTTCAAGGTGTTTCTGTCAATTTGTTTCATAGCTGGTAGCTAGTCACACACAGAACTAGCTACGAGTCCTATAATATACGTTAGCCTGCCTGGCTGGGGAGCTGTGATTCAAGTTCTGGAGATACATCTTTAGATGCGCTGCACACAGGCGTTAAAGTTGATCTCATTTATTTAAGTCTACTGAAGTGAGACTTTGTCCTCGTGTTTCTTGGCAATTTACATTGTTTTGTTCACAAGTTTGGTTGTTTTTCAATGTTTGAGTTTGCTTCTACTGCTAGCAAAGACATATCGGCTGACGGCTACTGGTCAGATTCTCTATCTCACATGCACACTGTCACTGACGGCTACTGGTCAGATTCTCTATCTCACATGCACACTGTCACTGACGGCTACTGGTCAGATACTCTATCTCACATGCACACTGTCACTGACGGCTACTGGTCAGATTCTCTATCTCACATGCACACTGGCACTGACGACTCGAGTGCCCTTTTTGCCACGGTAACCTCCCGCCCTTAAATGGGCAGCTGTCATCTGTGATATTTTAGTTAAAAGACTTGGGTCGCAAAAAATTTAAATAGAGTAATATACCACAACTTACTAGTAATACATTTATTATTTTAGAAACATTACAATGCATGTTCATCCGGAGTTGTTTTTGTTTTTAGTGTAATAATGGTGCAAAACAATTGGGCTGGTAAAAAATCTGAGTGGCTGGTGGACCAAAAAGTCAGTTTCAGGCCCTGTTAGATCAACTTTATTGTCCCACATGTGGAAATGAGTTTGGTCATGTGTGCCACATTTCGTATCTGACCCCTAACCTCTGTCTGTTGTCTCTGCAGAGATAACTACACACTACAGATCAACCCTAACTCTGGGCTGTGTAACGAGGACCACCTCTCATACTTCAAGTTCATTGGTCGGGTGGCAGGGATGGCAGTGTTCCATGGGAAGCTATTGGACGGTAAGATGAGCTTCTCTTGTATATCAGAAGCTCTGGTATTTATGCAACATTATTTTACAACCATCACAAGACCGTAGACAATAGAATAGGTCTTTGATTGTCAGTTTGGTGAGTTTTATCTTTTGACCCCAGGTCTGATTGAACGTTGTCTTGTCTCCTCTCTTCAGGCTTCTTCATCAGACCGTTCTACAAGATGATGCTTGGGAAACAGATCACACTGAAAGACATGGAGTCAGTGGTGAGGCCCTTTAAAAGTAAAGATACCTTAATAGAAAATGACTCAAATAAAAGTCACCCAGTAAAATACTACTTAAGTAAAAGTCTAAAAGTATTTGGTTTGAAATATACTTAAGTATCAAAAGTAAATGTAATTGCTAAAATATACGTAAGTATCAAAAGTATAAATCATTTTCAAATTCTTTCTATTAAGCAAACCAGACGGCATGATTTGTCTTGTTTTTTTTTAATTGACGGATAGCCATGGGCACACTCCAACACTCAGACATCATTTACTCCAACACTCAGACACCATTTACTCCAACACTCAGACACCATTTACTCCAACACTCAGACACCATTTACTCCAACACTCAGACATCATTTACTCCAACACTCAGACACCATTTACTCCAACCACTCAGAACACCATTTTACTCCAACACTCAGGACACCCATGTACTACCAACACTCAGACACCATTTACTCCCAAACACTCAGACACACACCATTTACTCCAACACTCAGACACCATTTACTCCAACACAACTCATTTACTACCAACATCAGCCATCATTTACTCCAACACTCAGACATCGTTTACTCCAACACTCAGACATCATTTACTCCAACACTCAGACATCATTTACTCCAACACTCAGACATCATTTACTCCAACACTCAGACATCATTTACTCCAACACTCAGACATCATTTACTCCAACTCTCAGACATCATTTACTCCAACACTCAGACATCATTTACAAACGAAGCATGTAAATTTAGTGAGCCTGCCAGATCAGAGGCTGTAGGGATGACCAGTGATGTTCTCTTGATATGTGCATGAATTAGACCATTTTCCTGTCCTGCTAAACATTCAAAATGTAACGAGTACTTTTGGGTGTCAGGGAAAATTTATGGAGTAAAAAGTACATTATTTTCTTTAGGAATGTAGTGAAGTAAAAGTAGTCAAAAACATAAATAGTAAAGTAAAGTACAGATACCCCAAAAAAACTACTTAAGTAGTACTTGAAAGTATTTTTACTTATGTACTTTACACCACTGAAGGAGTTAGGAGATTAAAAAGTGTCTAGCCAGAAACAACAGCTTCAGAAGCATACAAATTGAGTGGGGTCAGACTTTAATCTAGAAGGTAGTTTGACGCACACACACACACGCACACACACGCACACACGCACGCACGCACGCACGCACGCACGCACGCACGCACGCACGCACGCACGCACGCACGCACGCACGCACGCACACACACACACACACACACACACACACACACACACACACACACACACACACACACACACACACACACACACACACACACACACACACACACACACACACACACACACACACACACACACACACACACACAATATGTCATGTCTTTGTTTCCCCACCACTTTGACCTTGTAGGACAGTGAATACTACAACTCTCTGAAGTGGATCCTGGAGAATGATCCTACTGAGCTAGATCTGCGGTTCTGTATCGATGAGGATAACTTTGGACAGACGTACCAGGTGGATCTGAAACCCAGTGGTGGTGATATGGTGGTCACCAACCACAACAAAATGGAATACATCGAGTAAGTTGACCTTTCGTCTTGAATCACGCACATTATTTTTGATTATGTAACGGACTTCCCTTGGGGTATTGTAATAATCTGATTCAAGAATCAATATTCAAGTTTATTTGTCATTTGTCGGTATTAACCCTTTACACTCGTACCTGTATATGGGTTGAAAATTGCATATTTGGGCACTGATAAGCACCTAAATTGGAACGCAATGGCTGTACAGTAACATGCTATACATGAGGTCAGAGCTCAGTGGCTGTACAGTAACATGCTATACATGACGTCAGAGCTCAGTGGCTGTACAGTAACATGCTATAAATGACGTCCGAGCTCAGTGGCTGTACAGTAACATGCTATACATGACGTCAGAGCTCAGTGGCTGTACAGTAACATGCTATACATGACGTCCGAGCTCAGTGGCTGTACAGTAACATGCTATACATGACGTCAGAGCTCAGTGGCTGTACAGAAACATGCTATACATGACGTCAGAGCTCAGTGGCTGTACAGTAACATGCTATAAATGACGTCAGAGCTCAGTGGCTGTACATAAACATGCTATACATAACGTCAGAGCTCAGTGGCTGTACAGTAACATGCTATACATAACGTCAGAGCTCTGGCTCAACGCTTCATTGCTGTATTGGTTTTGGCTGACAGCCGTTCTGAAATTGAGCACGACAAGAAGTAGCCCCCATCCCTCCCGCTAATTGGGCAACTTTTGCGAATGTTTTGTTGTCTGATTGAGGGAATTGCTGTAAATTTAAGAGGACTCAATGTATTTTGAAAGATGAGACGTTGAGGATTTACATGCAAGCCAAACACCCGTGAGTCCAAATTTGCATTTCACATTTCCATGTAATATGCAGTGTCAACGTTTATGATCACTATGTTTGATATACAGTTACAAGATGACATGGCGTCATACCCTTGGTTGTTCTGAACAGAATTAATCGCAGAGGAACACACACCTGAATACACGCATGACTGAGTCCTTTCTATACGCACCAAAATGATGATCTGTTTCTCTGAATTGCCCTGTGAAAGCCTAACACTGTAAGATCGTATTTTACAATTTAGCGTGTCATGTTGGCAATAGAACACGTTTTCAAATGATGCCCATCTGACACAGATTGCGATTTATAATTGGCCATTTTTCGATTGCGTAAACAGCAGATGTGAATCAGATGTTATTGGTTGCATACACGTGTTTAGCAGATGTTATTGCGGGTGTAGCTAAATGCTTGTAGCTAAATAATTGTTTGATGGCGGGATGCAGGGTTGTGTTCCAAACAAACTATATAGTGCCTTCGGAAAGTATTCAGACCCCTTGACTTTTTCCACATTTTTTTACTTTACAGCCTTATTCTAAAATTGATTGAATTGTTTTTTTCCCTCATCAATCTACACACAATATCCCATATTGACAAAGCAAAAACCGGTATTTAGACATTTTTGCTAATAAAAAAATAAACATTTACATAAGTATTCAGACCCTTCACTCAGTACTTTGTTGAAGCGCCTTTGGCAGCGATTACAGCATCGAGTCTTCTTGGGTATGATGCTACAAGCTTGGCACACTTGTATTTGGGGAGTTTCTCCCATTCTTCTCTGCAGATCCTGTCAAGCTCTGTCAGGTTGGATGGAGAGCGTTGCTGCACAGCTATTTTCAGGTATCTCCAGAGTTGTTAGATCGGGTTCAAGTCCGGGCTCTGGCTGGGCCACTCAAGGACATTCAGAGACTTGTCCTGAAGCCACTCCTGCGTTGTCTTGGCTGTGTGCTTAGGGTTGTTGTCCTGTTGGAAGGTGAACCTTCGCCCCAGTCTGAGGTCCTGAGCGCTCTGGAGCAGGTTTCCGTCAAGGATCTCTCTGCACTTTGCTCCGTTCATCTTTCCCTCAACCCTGACTAGTCTCCCAGTCCCTGCCGCTGAAAAACATCCCCACAGCATGATACTGCCACCACCATGCTTCACCGTAGGGATGGTGACAGGTTTCCTCCAGACATGACGCTTGGCATTCAGGCCAAAGAGTTCAATCTTGGTTTCATCAGAGGAGAGAATCTTGTTTCTCATGGTCAGAGTCTTTAGGTGCCTTTTGGCAAACTCCAAGCAGGCTGTCATGTGCTTTTCCCTGAGGAGTGGCTTCGGTCTGGCCACTCTACCATAAAGGCTTGATTGGTGGAGTGCTGCAGAGATGGTTGTCCTTCTGGAAGGCTCTCCCATCTCCACATAGGAACTCTGGTGCTCTGTCAGAGTGACCATCGGGTTCTTGGTCACCTCCCTGACCAAGGCCCTTCTCCCCCGATAGCTCAGTTTGGCTGAGTGGCCAGCTCTAGGAAAAGTCTTGGTGGTTCCAAACTTCTTCCATTTAAGAATGATGGAGGCCACTGTGTTCTTGGGGACCTTCAATGCTGCAGAGATGTTTTGGTACCCTTCCCCAGATCTGTCCCTCGACACAATCCTGTCTCGGAGCTCTATGGACAATTCCTTCGACCTCATGGCTTGGTTTTTGCTCTGACATGCACTGTCAACTGTGGGACCTTATATAGACAGGTGTGTGCCTTTCCAAATCATGTCCAATCAATTGAATTTACCACAGGTGGACTCTAATCAAGTTGTAGAAACATCTCAAGGATGATCAATGGAAACAGAACGCACCTGAGCTAAATTTCAAGTGTAATAGCAAAGGGTCTGAATACTTATTTAAATAAGGTATTTCTGTTTTGTATTTTTAATACATTTGCAAACATTTCTAAAAACCTGTTTTCGCTTTGTCATTATAGGTATTGTGTGTAGATTGATGAGGAAACATTTGTATTTAATCCATTTTAGAATAAGGCTGTAATGTAACAAAATGTGGAAAGAGTCAAGGGATCTGAATACTTTCCGAATGCCCTCTATACATATACTGTATGTGAAAACTACCAGTGTGCTTGCTCTAGGTTCTCAACGGCACAGCTAAAAAAAAACACCTTATATAGTTGAAGACTTTTCTTTTAGTCATAAAAGTGCATTGAAATGACTTAGGAAATGTGCACAATTTGGTGAGGTGTTGCCACTTGGAGACACCAGTTAGACCTCTCACTCAAACCCTTGTCATTTTTTTGGTCTGATGTTGCAACCACCCCACATTATCCAGGAATATTCTTATCATGTTACTGGATGTATCCAGAGTATTTTCAGATTCCGTTATCAACAAATGCAGCGAAAAGTACAGTAAATGTAAAATGCACATAAAATAAACAGCATAATTTGTGCATTCAGTCTTGTTTCAGGTGAACGGTTGTGTCCTCACCTTTAGGCACCCAAACGAGGGTTGCGTTCATCCACCTCTGGCCTGCTGGCCCCCCTACCTCTGCGGAAGCATAGTTCCCGCTCAGCCCAGTCAAAACTGTTCGTTGCTCTGGCACCCCAATGGTGGAACAAGCTCCCTCACGACGCCAGGACAGCAGAGTCACTCACCACCTTCCGGAGACATTTGAAACCCCACCTCTTTAAGGAATACCTGGGATAGGATAAAGTAATCCTTCTACCCCCCCCTTACCCCACCCCAAAGAGAAAAATAAATAAAAATATTGTAAAGTGGTTGTCCCACTGGCTATCATAAGGTGAATGCACCAATTTGTAAGTCGCTCTTGATAAGAGCCTCTGCTAAATGACGTAAATGTAAATGCAGTCTAATCATTTTCCCATAATCTCCAAATGGTTCCCTTTCAATTGCTACCATGCTTATGCATTCCATATTTCTTCTGTGAGAAACATTTTGGCCCTATCCATATAGGCCAATTCCCACAAGTGTAAAGAGTTAAAAAGGCATTGGCATTCTTTGTAGATTATGGATTTGTCATGATATGATGGTACGCCATCCAACTAGTATCTAGGTTTGTTCTAATAATTTGTTCTGTCTTCAAACAGTCTTGTTATTCAGTGGCGGTTTGTGAACCGGGTCCAGAAACAGATGAATGCCTTTTTGGAGGTGGGTGTTGCTTTAACTGTGTGCAGTAATACCTCTTGTCATTTGGTGGCAGTAAAGCAAAATGCTTTGCACCCAGACCAATAGGTCAACAGGCCTTGTTTTGAAGTGTAGAGACACCATCTCAAGAAAGACCATCTGGAGGTTTTTAGGTTTATTATATAGCCATCGTACTGCAGATAAAAACTTCCTGATTTTTGTTCAATGAAAAGGATGTACCTGTAGCAACTGAAGTTTGAGTAAATCTTGCATGTAATCACTCCAATAGCTGTTCAACATTGGGTAGTATGTGATTACTGATTTTATTTCCCCCTCTTTTGTCCAACAGGGATTCACTGAACTCACTCTCATCGACCTCATCAAGATATTTGATGAAAATGAGCTTGAAGTACAGTATTATTGTTTGTTGTTGTTGTTTTGTCATCTTCAAAGTGTTGGATTTACCCTGACTTATTCATATGCTCGGTCACGTGGTTCATTGTTAGTTCTGAAACAACATTTTCAAACGTTGTCGCACCAATAAATAGATTTAGATGTAGTTTCACTTCAAAGTGTATTGCTAAAACAGAAAACCAACATAATTAATTATTGTGGTTGAGTTTAACTTTCGCATTCCTGCTCTAATTTATGTCTATGGCAGATAAAGCACTCTCTTGTTTCTGTGTCTGTAGGCTAAGTTTCATTCAATCTGTGTCTGTAGGCTAAATTTCATTCAATCTGTGACTGTAGGCTAAATTTCATTCAATCTGTGACTGTAGGCTAAGTTTCTTTCTGTGACTGTAGGCTACGTTTCTGTCTGTGACTGTAGGCTACGTTTCTGTCTGTGACTGTAGGCTAAGTTTCTGTCTGTCTGTGACTGTAGGATCGTTCCACCTCAAAAAGGTTTTGACACCGACCATCTGAAATTGTTTCTGTAGTTAGAAACAAATAAGATAAACATTTCTGCAACATTATTTTCTTTGCCCATTTATTTTGGTTCCTCACATCTTAATCATTGTTAAGAATAGGTTTTTGTGCAAATCAGATGTTGGGTACTATATTTATTGAATGTTATATGAATCCTGTAAATTGAAATGGGCAATTTGGGTGCAATCAATTAGCTTCATTTCTTTCAACTAAATAATGTTGCTGGAATGCTTATCTTCTCTGTTTCTAACTACAGAAACCATTTCAGAACAATCTGAGATGGTGGGGGTCATGGCTTGCTGAAATAGCAGCCTGGAACAACCCTGTAGGCTGTGTGTCTAGGCTAAGGGAACCATGGGTTTCTGTTTCTCTGTCTCTGTTGTCTAACGGTCTAAACCCAGAATGATGATGATTCTTAATACCTAACCTATGTTCTCTAGAAAAGAGTGATCTCCAATATTATCCTGAGCGCATCATTTCTGTATGTTAGTTGGCCAGTATGTGAGTTATAGTGGTCTTTTATATTGGTGTTGTGTGTTTTCCCTAGCTGTTGATGTGTGGTCTGGGTGACGTGGATGTGAATGACTGGAGACAACACACTGTCTACAAGAATGGATACTGCCCTAACCACCCAGTTATACAATGGTTCTGGAAGGTAAGACAGGCCACTCTTTCACTCACCCTCTCTGTCTCACTCACCGTCTCGCTCTGTCACTCATTCTCTCATTCACCGTCTCGCTCTCTCTCTCTCTCTCTTTCTCTCACCCTCTCTCTCTCTCACCCTCTTTCTCTCACTCACGCTCTCTGTCACTCACTCACCGTCTCGCTCTGTCACTCTTTCTCTCATTCACCGTCTCGCTCTCTCTCTCTCTCACCCTCTCTCTCTCTTTCTCTCACCCTCTCTCTCTCTTTCTCTCACCCTCTCTCTCTCTCACCCTCTTTCTCTCACTCACGCTCTCTCTCACTCACTCACCGTCTCTCTCTCTGTCTCTCACCGTCCCTCACTCACCATCTCTCTCTCTCACACGCACTCACACTCACACACCTATGTTTAGCCCAGCAATGTGTGTGAAAGGTTACCATCAATCCTAATGAAACATTATCTGTATGGGTAGGTTAACATCCTGCAGGAGAAACACTGAACTACTCAGACCACCAGTTGTTGTTACCAATGATTAATGGGATGTCTCAGAGAAGGAAATAATTACCTGTGAGTTACATGCTACAACATAAACTACATGTATCACTCAGTTGATACAGTAGTGAATAATTTTGGGGCCAAAACCTGTGTAGCGTTTGAAGATCAAAGTCTGTTTGGTTTAAAACAGCCATGTTTGCTGTGATAAAAGAGTAGGCCAGAGTAGTACTGGGCCTGGTTATCAGCCCTGTCACTCTGTCTGGGGTCACCAGCACTTTACACACACACACTGATACACAACAGAGTAGTACTGGGCCTGGTTATCAGCCCTGTCACTCTGTCTGGGGCCACCAGCACTTTACACACACACACTGATACACAACAGAGTAGTACTGGGCCTGGTTATCAGCCCTGTCACTCTGTCTGGGGCCACCAGCACTTTACACACACACACTGATACACAACAGAGTAGTACTGGGCCTGGTTATCAGCCCTGTCACTCTGTCTGGGGCCACCAGCACTTTACACACACACACTGATACACAACAGAGTAGAACCCACATAGGGTCAGATGAGCTGATTCAGAGGACTGGTTTAAACAGCTTCTGTCTATACAGGATAGTGTCATGTGCCCCAAGGTCCTTTTGGGAGATTGTTTTGCTTGTTAGCTTCAGACACATGTTTGTCTCATTAGAAGTTGAAGGCCTACACCTGGAATGAGTCACCTCAGTGAAACCTAGAACCCACCTGAGGGGATGAATAATTGTATTGAAATGAATATCTGTCCAGTTCAACATCCTAATGTGTTTAGTCCTGTGTGTCCCACCCTGCAGGCTGTCCTGCTGATGGATGCTGAGAAGAGGATCCGTCTGCTTCAGTTTGTCACCGGGACATCCAGAGTCCCTATGAATGGCTTTGCTGAACTCTATGGTGAGAGAATGCTACACTATGGTTACAGTGTGCTAGGATAGCTGTTTATGAATATGGCTGTGTAGTAACAGCAGTGTACAGCCCAATAGTACACCTCTGTGTTCCATCCAGAACTGTCTTGACCAAAGTCACTAGTACTGTATGTTTAGTGCCACTTCTGTCTTCCCCCACGTCATGTCAGGTTCCAATGGGCCTCAGCTGTTCACAATTGAGCAGTGGGGAACACCTGATAAGCTTCCCAGAGCACACACCTGGTATGTATTGTATGCAATCAGATGATCCTACAGTTCATTAAATCTGTAGTGGATTGGTCTGGTTTAACTGCTTTTATGAAGTAGTGACCATGAAATTCGTGAAACATGAAAATTTCACATTGTATGTTTTCTATGGGTTGTCGGCATGATATTTTACTGTTCTACAATTTCTAGTCTGTTTTATTTGAGTGTATTCCCATTATTTTGCCCTGAGTTAATATAATATTAGCCTCTATAAGTGTATCCTTATTAAATGAGACTGCTGTGAGAGATAACAAATCCTGTGATTCTCTTCTCCAGCTTCAACAGGCTGGACCTACCTACCTACGAGTCGTTTGACGACCTGCGAGAGAGGCTGCTCATGGCTGTGGAGAACGCTCAAGGTTTCGAGGGTGTCGATTAAACTAACGTCAGCCATCTTTGTTGAACACCACTACAGAGACAACACACCACCACAGAACAGAACGTTTAAAAACCAACTGCCACAGAACGTTCAAAAAATCAACTGACTAACTGCCATTCTACAGCTGCAGACAGTGGCCATAGCAGGGTCTACCTGCAAGCATGTTGTATGCACATGATCAACCACCGAGGTTACTCTGAGACTGTAGTGACCGTGACAGAGACTTGAGCCCAACGAGCCATGTCTGTCTTCTCATTCTATGTCAAGGTGCTGGGGAACATGGCCAGTACATTGCAGTGCAGCCAATGCAAAACACTGCACCTCTGTCTGAAATCTGCAGTGCTGGAATCTGTGATGCATTTCGATATGAATATCTCTCTTGTTGTTGTATTTGACACCCACCCACCCAGTGACTCTGCTGTGCTGTGGAGTGCATATCCTTAACATGCTGGTTACTGCATTCTGTATGAAATGAATCAAATTACTACTCCTCCTCTCTCCAAGGTAACATGCTGGATCCTGCATTGTATATAATCACTGATCGATTTGAGTCCTGCATTGATCAATCACTACTTAACTCCTCCACTCCAGGTTACCTTAATACTACAGTACTACACCACCAGATAACCTTAGGAATGCTAACCGATCACAGAATCACTGATGAGGATATAAGCCTAGCCGTGTCTCTCTCACTGTTCAACGAACCCAGTCCCACCCCCCCTCCCCGTGGACTGCAATCCGCGAGCCAAAGGATCAAACCCGGTATCGAGACGACCTATCTGCCGCTCTGCATCTCGCCTCCTAATCCGGATCTCCCCACCGAGCGGAGTGCCCGAGCGAGGCATAGGAGCAGCGCACGGAGACGACGGCGAGAAGCCGCGGAGCCCCTCGTCGCTCCCCATCTATCTCCCCCAAAACGCACAGTCCGTAGACACCCACCGAGGAGAGGGGAAGACGCGAAAAAGAGAGAGGAACCATAAGAAGCGGCGGAGAAAAAGTCGGAAGAGAATACGACAAATTCAACACACCAATCATCCCCCTCTCTATACCTCCCCATAACAATCTCACCCCCCATCTCTCTCCCCCATTCTCTCTCTCCCCCCTCTCCCCCCCCATCTTCCCCCTCTTCCCTCTACCTGTCTGTAGAATAAGGTCTATCCACCAGGGAAAGGGACGGGGCTTCTTCTCACTACAAGGACTCGTTATTATTTTATTTTGCAAGCCAAGAAGGAACAGGATCATTTTTATTAGATTTTTAATATCGTTATTATTATCGTTCTTACGGAAAACACACTTCTGACGTATTTGTACCGATGATAAACATTGTTTACTATTTTGACTGTGTAAATCTGGCCGTTGGAAACAATGATATCATGATTGGGGTGACTTAAATAATAACATGGTTATTGTAGTGCTATGAAAACAAACAGCATGAAAATGTTATCTTGTGTTTGCGTATTCTCCTTGGTTTAAACTAAAGGTCCTTCTTGGGAAAAAATAAGAATTGTGTGAATTAGTCTGAAATCAGAGGTTTGCCTCACAATGATAACAATATTGTTATGCTCATCCTTCCCTGTTCATAATGCTGTAAATTAATTTCTTGAAAAAACATTTAGAAATGGTTTCATTATTATAAATATACATGTATAACATTTAATAATAGAGGTATTAACAATGAATAACACATTAAAATGAAGCTGAACTGTGAGAGATGGCTATGATTGCCACTAATAGAAGAGCAGCAAGTTCTAACAATAGAAAATGTCTTCTGTGTCCCAAATAGCACCCTATTCCCTATAATAGTACATTACTTTTAACCAGAGCCCTGGTCAAAGAGCCCTATGGCTCCTGGTTAAAGAGCCCTATGGCTCCTGGTCAAAGGTAGTACACTAAGTAATACAGTGCCATTTGGGACGCAGCTTTAGGTTTGGCTTGTTTTTGTTTATTTTCTTCTCTTTTTCTAACACCACTGAACCTAAAGGGCACTTTATCCATCACACTTACCTGCCTGTCGTATGTCTTTTAGCATTAACTTGAATCTGATTTATTTTTCATTGAGAATAGCCTTTGTTTACCTGGGTGCAATATCTAGTTGTGTCCCAAATGGCACCCTATTCCCTATGTAGTGCACTACTTTTGACCAGACCTCTATGGGCCCTGTTTAAAAGTAGTGCGCTATATATGTAATAGGGTACCATTTGGGACTTCACCCTATAGTCCTGTAAATCTGCCTGCTGCTAATGTATAAAGTGACAGTCGTGAAGAAGGGATCTTCACACTCGTCCTCTCTCTCTCTCTGTCTCTCTCTCTCTCTCTCTCGCTCTGTCTCTGTCTCTGTCTCTCTCTCTTCTCTCTCTCTCTCTCTCTCTCTCTCTCTGTCTCCCTCTGTCTCTGTCTCTCTGTCTCTGTCTCTCTCTCTCTCTCTCTCTCTGTCTCTCTCTCTCTCTGTCTCTGTCTCTCTCTCTGTATCTGTCTCTCTCTCCCTCTCTCTCTCTCTCTCTCTCTCTACTCATTATCTGTTCATCCTTCTCTCCCTTTTTCCTGCTCCACTAACTGTGGTTCACTAGATTCCTCCCTCTCTTTATGTACTTGGTTTTTAGGGGTTGTTGTTTTTTATTAATGGGGGAAATAAACGTTCACTTTTGTTAAATTCCACAACTCCACAACAAGCCCTCGCAGTTAATATAACTTGAGTCAAATTAAAACTGAAACATGGAAACTCATTCAACTTTGTGTCGTTGTGTGAAATGGTTCATGTTTGGACATCAAATCATACTTCTTAGAAGAGTTTTCTGTTAACTTTGTGTACGTTGTTTTAGGTGAAAATGCACCCCCCAAAAAAGGCCTCAGTTTAACTGGTACCCCTGCACATGGAGACAAAGAACGTACTTTTTGGAGAAATGTCCTCTGGTCTGATGAAACAAAAATAGAACTGTTTGGCCATAATGACCATGGTTATGTTTGGAGGAAAAAGGGGGAGCTTGCAAGCCAAAGAACACCATCCTAACCGTGAAGCACGGGGGTGGCAGCATCATGCTGTGGGGATGCTTTGCTGCAGGAGAGACTGGTGCACTTCACAAAATAGATGGCATCATGAGGAAGTAAAATTATGTGGATATATTGAAGCAACATCTCAAGACATCAGTCAGGAAGTTAAAGCTTGGTCGCAAATGGGTCTTCCAAATGGACAATGACCCCAAGCATACTTCCAAAGTTGTGGCAAAATGGCTTAAGGACAACAAAGTCAAAGTATTGGAGTGGCCATCACAAAGCCCTGACATCAATCCTATAGAAAATGTGTGGGCAGAACTGAAAAAACGTGTGCGAGTAAGGAGGCCTACAAACCTGACTCAGTTACACCAGCTCTGTCAGGATGAATGGGCTAAAATTCACCAAACCTATTGTGGGAAGCTTGTGGAAGGCTACCCGAAACGTTTGACCCAAGTTAAACATTTTAAAGGCAATGCTACCAAATACTAATTGAGTGTATGTAAACTTCTGACCCACTGGGAAAGTACTTGTGTTATGCACAAAGTAGATGTCCTAACCGACTTACCAAAACCAGAGTTTGTTAACAAGAAATGTGTGGAGTGGTTGAAAGACAAGTTTTAATGACTCCAACATAAGTGCGTGCACGTGTTTGTTTCGGTGAAGGGAACCCAGTTCATTCACACAGGCAATCTAGGACTTATGTGCTCCAAGGACGAGCAAATAAAAGCGGCCTGTTTGTCCTGTCATGTTATCAAGGCCCCTCCCCTCTCTTGCTCTCTGTCTCTCACAAACAAACCAGGGGCCAAAAATCCTTCCGGCAACAGGGCTGTTTAATAAATCTAGAGAGGACACCTGGATGAGATGAGAGGAGAGGACCTGAACTGAGCGTGACCTGCTGCACAATTGTAATGTCACCAACTGATAGGAATACTTATTTTCGATGAAAGATGTTTCGTAAGAGGAATACTGTGCGTGCCCAAGGTGTTGTGTCGTTTCAATCAGTGACCTATCAATGACCCACAGAGCTCTGGATTTCCTTGACCTCAGTCGACCTCTTAGGACTTGATACTGTAACACAGAAAAATGCTCAGAGTAATATCAATTACATTTTGACATACACTACATGACCAAAAGTATGCTCGTCAAACATCTCATTCCAAAATCATGGGCATTAATATGGAGTTGGTCCCCCCTTTGCTGCTATAACAGCCTCCACTCTTCTGGGAAGGCTTTCCACTAGATGTTGGAACATTGCTGCTGGGACTTGCTTCCATTCAGCCACAAGAGCATTAGTGAGGTCGGGCACTGATGTTGGCCGATTAGGCCTGGCTCGCAGTCGGCATTCCAATTCATCCCAAAGGTGTTTGATGGGGTTGACGTCAGGGCCAGTCAAGTTCTTCCACATCGATCTCGACAAACCATTTCTGTATGGACCTCGCTTTGTGCACGGGGACATTGTCATGCTGAAACAGGAAAGGGCCTTCCCCAAACTGTTGCCACAAAGTTGGAAGCACAGAATCGTCTAGAATGTCATTGTATGCTGTAGCGTTAAGATTTCCCCTTCACTGTAACTAAGGGGCCTAGCCCGAACCATGAAAAACAGCCCCAGACCATTATTCCTCCTCCACCAAACTTTACAGTTGGCACTATGCATTCGGGCAGGCAGTGTTCTCCTGGCATCCGCCAAACCCAGATTCGTCCAGCGGACTGCCATATGGTGAAGCGTGATTCATCACTCGCTCCAGAGTCCAATGGCGGCGAGCTTTACACCACTCCAGCCGACGCTTGGCATTGCACATGGTGATCTTAGGCTTGTGTGCGGTCAAGGAAACCCATTTCATAAAGCTCCCGACGAACAGTTATTGTTCTGATGTTGCTTCCACAAGCAGTTTGGAACTCGGTAGTGAGTGTTGCAACCGAGGACAGACGATTTTTACGCGCTACGCAGAAATTTGATGAACTGACTTGTTGGAAAGGTGGCATCCTATGATGGTGCCTATGATAGAGTCAATGAGCTCTTCAATAAGGCACTTCTACTGCCAATGTTTGTCTATGGAGATTGCATGGCTGTGTGCTCGATTTTATACACCTGCCAGCAATGAGTGTGGCTGAAATAGCCAAATCCACTAATTTGAAGGGGTGTCCATATACTTTTGTATAAATAGTGTACATGTACACAGTGTGCAGGCTTTTCTTTGGGGAAAGCTTTTTGTTGGAGATGTGAAAAGGTAAATAGTATGATTATTGTTCACAGGATCACATCTGTATGTCCCAACCATTTCTGTGGGCATGTGAATACTGATTAATTGTCAGATCTGTTATGACAGTTTGTAAATAACGGCTCAAAGTAAGATTTTGAGATTCTTATCTCATCCCTGGCCCCAGGCCATGTCCAACTGTTCAAAGTCAAACTGTTGACAATTTGAATTGGTTATACTGCAGGCTACAGTAGACTAGAGGATGATGACAGGCAAGGGGACTTTGATAAGACTTCAGAAGAACACTGCGACATGGAGACAGTGATATGTACAGTACCGTCTGACTAAGATAACATCTGTCGTCATATTGGGGTTTTCATGTTCTCTTGTTGGATCAGGCTCTTCCTCACTGGTATTAGACCCTGGGAAAAAAAACACTGAACATACAAAAATATCTGCTAAATCTGCTGTAACATGCAATGAAGGGAAAGTAAAGTTGTTACCTTACAGTCCCTATCTTTATGAATAACTATAGC